TGGTTTTTATTTGCATTTCCCTAATGACTACTGATGTTGAGCATCTTTTCATGTGTTCATTGGCCATTTGTATATTTTCTTTGGAGAAATGTCTTCAGATCCTTTGCCTATTTTTTAATTGGGTTATTTGTCTTTATTTTTTTTTTTAAAGATTTTATTTATTTATTTGACAGAGACACACAGCGAGAGGAGGAACACAAGAGGGGGGAGTGGGAGAGGGAGAAGCAGGCTTCCCGCAGAGCAGAGATCCTGATGCGGGGCTCCATCCCAGGACCCTGGGATCATGACCTGAGCCGAAGGCAGACGTTTAACGACTGAGCCACCCAGGTGCCCCACAGATTGTATTTCCATATGAGAGTGTAGATCTTGAGTTTAAACTGATGGACAGTGTGGGGTAGATGAAGAACATGAGTCAAACTTCAGAGTGAATAGAAAAATAAAATTAAGAACCTAGCATTCTTGAATCTGGTGGCAGTGTTATTTAAAGGGTTCTCCGGCATATGAGACCTCCTAAAACCAGGCCTTGGTACTAGTGCTGGAAAGAGTATGTACTTTTTCTTTTTCCAGACCTTCTGTTTTTTTGTTGTTTTGTTTTTTAATTAGAAATAAAATAAGTATTGGGGCGCCTGGGTGGCTCAGTTGGTTAAGCGACTGCCTTCGGCTCAGGTCATGATCCTGGAGTCCTGGGATTGAGTCCCATGTTGGGCTCCCTGCTCAGCAGGGAGTCTGTTTCTCCCTCTGACCCTCTTCCCTCTCATGCTCTCTAGCTCTCATTCTCTCTCTGTCTCTCTCAAATAAATAAATAAAATCTTTAAAAAAAAATAAGTACTTTTTTTTTTTTTTTGCCTTTATCTGAATGAACACTCTAATTACATGATGTGAGTACAAGATTTCTTTGCCCTGTATGCTCTCTTACACTTCTCATTCATTTCTGGGCACTTCCTTTTTTGGGGGGTTTCAACATTTTAGAAGAATTCCATTTTCATCAATAAAGATTAAATGATATGAGTGGTGTGTGTTCAAGAGCCAAGAAAAAGGGAACGTGTAAAGTTACAAGTTCTGCCTTTATGTAGTGATGGAAATTTCTCCTTTATTCTACTGCCTCTAAAACGTTTGGTATCTTATTTTTTCAGTCTGACCTGGTTACTATTGTTGAAGATGAAATAATTTATTCTGGCCCTTAGGACTGTCCTGAGAATTCCTTTCCCTTTTAGTCATAAAATTATGACTTACTTGGGCGCCTGGGTGGCTCAGTTGGTTAAAGCGACTGCCTTCGGCTCAGGTCATGATCCTGGAGTCCCGGGATCGGGTCCCACATCGGGCTCCCTGCTCAGCAGGGAGTCTGCTTCTCCCTCTGACCCTCTTCCCTCTCGTGCTCTCTATCTCTCATTCTCTCTCTCTCAAATAAATAAATAAAATCTTTAAAAAAAAAAGTTGATGCAGTGTGTTTCAGAATTGATTAGATTTCATAATCAGTGGTGGTTCATAGAGTGTAAGCAGAGTTAAGTGAAGTCATAATGAAATAGAGCAAATTCCTTTATGTGGGTTAAAGAGCAGAGGATATGAGCCAGTTGTTTTGCCTGTCATTTTTTATGATACAAACCTTGCTGTTTGGGGAATATAGAGTACCAAGGTTTTTTGTTTTGTTTTTTAAAAACTTTACATATTTATTTGACACAGAGAGAGAGAGAGCACATAGGGGGAGCGGCAGGGAGAGGGAGAAGCAGGCTCCATGCAGGGCTTGATCCCAGGACCCTGGGATCATGACCTGAGCCGAAGGCAGCCGCTTAGTGACTGAGCCCCCCGGGCACCCCTAGAGTACAAAGTTTAACACACCTTTTGACATCCTTCCAGTATCTCTAGGATAGGACAGGGAGATCAATTTACGTGAGAGAAGGGGATTGAAAATTAGTGTTGGCAGTTACTGAATGCCATTGAATCCAAGCCCGCCATCGATGATAGCTCACACCTGAGTTTCATGTACCACTGAGAAAGAAAAAGTGCTGCCAGTTAACTATGACCTCCCGTTATTTGTGACATGCACCTGATTTCTTAAATGCTAAGTTGGGGGCGGTGATGCCAGACAGATGAAATATAGTAATATTTCTCTTTCAGGGGATTTTGAGCATTTGCTGGTTTCTTTACAATTATTTCTCCTATCTCAAAATTCATATATGGGACTGCCTTGAAGTTGATGGAATATTATAATGTAAGATGCTTCGAGATTTCTCAGCTTGAGCAGTAAAAGAACTGTTCTCTCCAGGCCTTGGCAAAAAAAAAAACCCTTGCTGTTTGGGGAATGTAAAAGTTGTTTTCCTAATCTCCTCTCCTGTAATTTTTGTCTTTTAACTCTCCTGTTTACTATGAAAAGAAAACTGTGAAGTGTTCTTAAGAGTAATTTAAAATTCTCATGAGGATCAGCCATGGTTTTTGTTACTCTCCTTAGGTTTTTATTTTTTATTTTTTAAAGATTTTATTTATTTATTTGACAGAGAGAGACACAGCGAGAGAGGGAACACAAGCAGGGGGAGTGGGAGAGGGAGAAGCAGGCTTCCCGCAGAGCAGGGAGCCTGATGTGGGACTCGATCCCAGGACCCTGGGATCATGACCTGAGCCGAAGGCAGACGATTAACGACTGAGCCACCCAGGCGCCCCTCTCCTTAGGTTTTTAAAGCTGATTCCTTAAAAAGCATCTTCAGGAGGGATTAAACATAATTTAAAAACAAGGACTGAGATTTTGTTCATTAGTTGATTTTCAAACTCTGAAATTCTCTCTCAAATTCTTTTGAACTCAAAAGAATCTCAGTATGTTTATTAACATAAACATTTGACAGTCTTTGTGTCACCTATTTTTCCCTCTGAGTTTACTAGAATTATATTATCTCATGATCATTATTTCAAATAACCCCACAGCCTCCTCACTTCCCTTCCGGGGAATAGGAGTGTCTTATGTTGCCACCATTTTTGGCACCTAAACTACTACTTCTCTTCCTCAGAAACTCTTGTAAGTTCGTTTCCTATTTTAGTAAAATATAATTGTTAGGGAATGCTGTGGGGCTCTTGCCTTTGAGAGAATGATATCCATATTTATCTACCTCATCAGGCCTTTGACTCCCACTTCAGTGAGGCGGGGCGTCACTTCTCTACCATCCAGCAGCAGTAAACTCCTTTTGATACAAGTTACTTAGAAGCTAACTCACTTCTTCTGTTCATACCCCTCCTTTTTCCTGTTGCTCCCTCCATTCAGTTTAAATTAATACTCGATATTGGTGTAAAAATTATGGAACCTCTGGGTTAAAAAGGCATTTTTTTATGTTCCTTGGATGCAGGCATTCCTTAGATGGTTCAGTCCGCCCTCAGCACCTCTGAAAGGTCATCTTCAAACCCAGAGGTGGTAGGATTGGTTTTAGGACCTCCCCAAAAGTGAATTGGCAGCCTTCCCCCTTTCTTTTAATTCAGGCTGTGCTCACTGGACAGACCAAGATAAACTGGTGATACTGCTTCCTCTTCATTCCTTGAGGAGTCATGAAGATCAGTTAGGTGATACTTACTTTGTACTTTAAGCTCTTTATATATATAGATAGAACAAAATAGACACCCCTAAGATCTTTAACAGTGTGGTCAGGGCTGACTAGTGTATGTGATTTGTATTTTGACTATTTCACAGATTGTGTTTTATGAGAAAATAGTTGAAGACAGAATTTCAGTGTGATTGGATTTCCCTTAAACTGGAGTGAATATCAAAGACCATCAGAGATAAATGTTTAACATTCTCACATTTCTACTTCCCCATCTGTAAACTCTGAAGACCTTTATAGAGATCTGTGGTTTGGCCCTGGGATATGTATTTACTATCCTGGATGTTTGCTTTGGTTATCTAGGGAAAAATTAAACTATTCTTTAGAAGCTTTTGTTAGCAGCTCTACAAATAAATGTTCTATGGAGTTCCTTTTGATTTTCAAAACAAGTAAAACTTGAAAATAAAGCAAACACACACTCTAAAGAATCCAGTAAAACCAACAGATGACACCACAAAAACAAAAAAACAAAAGGGATTTTTAGGCTAAAACTTGGGTAGAATTTGCTTCCTGGATGAAGTGTAGAATTAAAGAATTCTGGCCCTGAAATGACTTGGGCAGGGAGGGGGTAGATAACACTGGATTTGGTCTTTTAGGTGGGAAAATGGTAAATTTTACGTTTAATTTCTTAAGAAAAGGGTTGAAATTTTCCCAGCCTCAATCCTGAGGGCCATGGTTGTCTGGCAAGAATGGGTGATAGAATGCAGTTTCTAGAGTAAGGCTGAGATCGTTTTCTTTTCTCTCCTGTAGAATGCATTTGGTCAATTTTGTGGAACCTGTGGGCCTCAATTTCTCCATGTTTATTCCTACCTTGCTGAATCAGGGCACCACTGCTCAGCAAGAGAAATGGCTGCTTTCATCCAAAGGACTCCAGATAATTGGCACCTACGCCCAGACGGAAATGGGCCACGGTTAGTCCACATTTGAGGGTCAGTGGGTAACCCACCTCAGGACTTAAACTGATAAATGACTCCTGATGTTTGGTTTTTCCTGCTGCTACACTTTTGGGAATTTGTCTTTCAGTTGTTAAGCCTTAAATAAAATTCAGCTTCTCATTTTCTTATAGGTCATTTCCCCATAAACTGGTCCAAGACTCTAGCCTGAAACATCCTTCATTGTTACTTCTAAAAGCCTTTTTACCCTTGCTGCATATATCCCTTTTTTTTTTTTTTTAAAGATTTTTTTATTTATTTGACAGGGAGAGACACAGGGAGAGACACAGCGAGAGATGGAACACAAGCAGGGGGAGAGGGAGAGGGAGAAGCAGGCTTCCCGCCGAGCAGAAGCCCGATGTGGGGCTCGATCCCAGGACCCTGGGATCATGACCTGAGCCGAAGGCAGATGCTTAATGACTGAGCCACCCAGGCGCCCCGCATATATCCCATTTTAATGGCTGTTGAGCAGTTTGGAAAGATGGGATTGAAAATGTGGCAGAATTAAGCGTTGGTGTCTAATTATAAAAAGAGACTTTGTTGGAAATTCTTGAGAGTGTTAATGCCTTAGCAATATCTGGAAGTTGCCTCTCTGCTTTAATGAAGCTAAAGATGGGGATTTTAAGGGGGGCAGAGGGTTAGAGCATTTAAGTGTCTTACTCTTTCTTTGCCCACTAGCAGGCTTATAAGGCAGTTTGGAAAAAAGTTCATGATTCTCTTCGTTTGACTATAGCAATCTTTTCTTTTTAAAGATTTTATTTATTCATTTGAGACGGCGAGATACAGAAAGAGAGAACATGAGCAGGGGGAGAGGCAGAGGGAGAAGTAGGCTCCCTGCTGAGCCAGGAGCCAGATGTGGGGCTTGATCCCAGGACCCTGGGATCATGACCTGAGCCAAAGGCAGACACTTAACCATCTGAGCCATCCAGGTGCCCCAGAGCAGTCTTTTTATTATACTTTTTTTCTTCACATATTTTTGGACTTCGTATTGCCAGTCATTCTTGGTTCAGTTGTTCATAAAAATGGGGCACCTGGGTGGCTCAGTCGGTTAAGTGACCGACTGAGGTCTTGATCTCAGGGTCATGAGTCAGAGCCCCGCTTTGGCTTCCATGCTGGGCGTGGTATCTACTTAAAAAAAATTGTTTATGAATGGCCAGCTCCTTTCAAAAAGTTTTGTGTTTGGTCTTAATGTGAAGGAAGTTTGTTTTCATAGACAAGGCCATTGGGAGGTTTGGGGGTTTTGAATTTGAGCTGCCCAGTCTTATTCCCTAATTTATCATAAGGCTTCCATTACGTAAATAAGGAGAAGAGGAAGAGATGCAAAAAGCATGAAAACTTCATTTTTGTGTTTGATTTGGTGCTTTTTGATTGCTGAAATGGTTTAAGGAAATGTTCTTTATCACAATCCCCATGAGAACTGCAGATCTGGTTGTGATGTTATCTTACCAACACCCTGCCAAAACACCCAAGACTTTCGCTTCAGGATGGCCAATACTGAAATAAGCAGACTGAAGAAAGGTTTCCTAAGGGAAGAAATATAACACTCATAGAAGTCTTCCTGTCTGGGGGAGGGAGGGAGAGAGAGTATATGAGTGTGTGTGTGTGTGTGTATGTGTGTGTTGTAATCTTAAAATAGCTTTGTGGTACAGAACCCTTCTTTTGTTTAAGTATGCATCATTGTGGAATTTATTTGACTTATAGTCAATGCCATTCATAGGAGGCATAAAGATGTAAATTATATTCGGAGGCTAAATGGGTTTGATTGTATGTCTCGCTGGTCTCACCCTTCTGCTTCTATAAAGTATGTTGTAAATGTATATTTGCCCTAAATTTTGAAAGAGAAGAAGTAACGAGGACTTGAAGTTTCTGGTCTGAGGAGCACAGAAATTGGACTGAGGTCCTATGTTGGTCTGGGTGAGTTTGCTTTTTTTATTAGTTTTATTTCCCTTATTGCTTCTCTTTTTCAGATATTTTCCTGTATTTGAACTCAACTTTGTCTTAATCTCTGTATTTTAGAGAACAGAGTTGTGAGATTAGGTCTTGTTTCTCTCTGGAATCTCGTCCATTCACATTGCTGTTTGTTGTGCTTCATCCACTGCTCTTCTTTTCTGGGGGCGCCAGTCAGTTTGTTGGTTAATTTGTGTCCTGTGGCAGTATAGCCTTGTGTAAAATAGTCCTTCAACATCGAAGAGACTGGAAATAGAGCGACTTGTGCAGATGGAGGTTTGATGGTTCAATCCAGAGACTTCAGAACGTTGACTGGCCAACAGTGATTATCTCAAGTGTCACAGAATTGGCTATAACTTTTGAGTTTGGGATTCTTTCAGCTCTAGGTAGGTGCTGAGAAGTGAGGAGACAACAGCATTGCTCAGGCTCCTTCCAGGATCCTGAAGGTCTTAAAATTCAGTCCCCTGCACGAAGTCTCTGTCATCTCTTTCCTTTCTTCCCTCCTCTAAATACTCACCTGTCTGTAGAGACACACAAAATCCGACACACCCACTTGGTCTGTGGATCTGTGAGCCTTAATCAAGGGCAGAAGTCTGGGCTGAGGGGCACACCCTCTCCTAGGGGTTCTGGTGGTGAAAAGACTGTCTGTGGAACGTGGTCCAGCAATAATCCTCCCGACCATACGTTTCTCTGGGTCCCAAAGCAGGTAGTGTGCTTGGTCTTCACAGATATTTGGTCACTTCAAGTTCTGGCCACTTTATAGCAATTCTCCTTCCTTTGTTTTCTGCTGTTGTTAATCAGGAAAATAGAGCTTATACAATACAGTTATCATCCTTGAAGATTGGTGTGGTATGTCAGCACCTTCCCATCACCAGTACTCAGATATGAACTAAAGCACCTCTCTTCCTTTGAAACTTGAGAAATAGATAAATAGTAAACGGGACTGCGTAAGTCACTAGTCTTTCTCCCCGTATTTTCACTACTGGTTCCTGTCCTCTTTTTTCCGAGTGAGTCTCTTTCCTGTTGGACTTCCCATGAGGCTGATCCCTAGGTTTTGGGGCTGTTCTAATTCCCCACCATGATTGTTAATAACAATATAAACTTCTTTACAAAGACTATGCCTTTTAGGGTTATGCCTTCAGAATATCTTTCTCAGAAGTAAATTATTGCATTGAAAGGAGTGAACATTTTATAGCTATTGTTGCATAGTTTAAGACTTCTTTTTTTTTTTAAACAAATCTACACCTTTATTTACTTTTCATTAAATTTAAATCCTTGAGGGGTACAGCATCACACGGATTCTGTGGCCAATGGCTTTAGCAGGAAGGTTGCTTCGGAATTTGGCACGAACCATGCCACCGTTTCCATGAGCACGAGCTACTTTTCCCAGATTACTCTGGTTTTGTTTGGTTTGCCACCAGGAGTCACTGTGTTGTTCTTTGCTTTGTACACATAAGCACATCTCTTGCCTAGATAGAATTCCATTTCATCTCGAGCATAAACACCTTCGATTTTAAGAAGAGCTGTGTGCTCCCTCTGGTTCCGGAGACCCCGCTTATAGCCAGCAAAAATGGCCTTGGACCACAGCCTTCTAGACATTATTTGGCATTATAGGAGTCCTGTTCCCAGCAGGCCTCCACAGACTCCAAGAGGGCGGAAAAAGCTAGTTTAAGACTTCTTGAAACACAGAACAAGTTTATAGTATATTTAGCAAATTATTAGTGTACCGTGTTTCCATAAGCCCCATCAACGTGGTTGCTTTAATTTTTTTTGCTACTTTAATATATATCTAAGAGTTAAAGTTTTAATTTTCCAAAGCCAGTGAGCCTGGATGTTTTGGCTTACTGTCTGTATTTCCTGTGTATAAACTGGGTTTTTCTCCTTTGCGTATTGATTAAATAGAATCTGTACATTGATCTTATAAATATGTTATATCCTTCAAGTATTTTTTCTATTGCCTTCTGTTTTGTTAAACACTTTGGCTTTATGTATTGAATGCATCCTTCTCTGAGTAGGTATAAATTTTTTTCCCCCATATCTTGGATAATTATTCCTTTATTTTCTCCAGGCTTTTTTTGTTTGATTTATGTTTAATGCTTTGACTTGTATATGGTATAGAATGATGAATGAATCCCACCATTTTTATGTTTATTAACTAGTATTTTCCCCCCATTGTTCTTTCCAGTTCTTAGAGTTTTATTGTTTCAATTCATTTCTAGAACCTTAAAATATATTGATTAGTCCCTTTGTTTTTCTCCTAATATCATAAACATTGGTTCATTGTTGCTTTGTAAGATATTTAAAAATCTGATAGGATAAGCCTGCTGTTGTTATATTTTAAGACCTACATATTTGGTGTTCTTGTATACTTACTCTTCTAGGCAAATTCCGTCTTAATTTATCAAATTCTAAATTATATTCAGCAGGAATTTCAAATCCGTGTTACATTAAATCCTTGTATTTCTTGGGAAGTATTATCTTTATTATGATAAAGGACTGACTTCTCAACCAGGAATTAGCAATTTCTTGACTGTTATGTATAACTTCTTCTATTCATCCTATTAGGTAGTGATATTTTTCCTAATTAAATCTTTACTATCCCGAGCTAAGTTACATAACAAATTTTAAATATTTTGTAGTGTTTGTAAATTGCTTTTCTCTTTACTGAGGTTTCTGCTTTAAGCATCCTAATGGATAAGAATGCAGTGATTTTTTCTTCCTTAGAGCCTACAGATTTTCTAAATTCATTCATTATTGATGGTATTTTGTTGTTGATTTCCTAGGATTATAATCATGCTGTCCACGGATATGCTATTTTAAGTCCTTCCTTTCTTATGTATTATTAATCTAATCATTTTGCCCTCAGCATTGGCTGACAGCCCCGTGTCATGTAGAGGGAGAAGACTGGGAAAGCCTTTTGGTGTTACGGTTTTAAAAGAATTGACTGTAGCACTTCACCAAAGTAAAATGTTGGTGCTTTGTAATTTTAAAATAAATGATTTAAAAATAATATATAATCTTTATCATGCATACATAACCAACTTTTTGCAACAAATACTTGGTTTATGTCAAAAAAACTGTCAGGTCACTTTCTCCTTATAACATGTCTAAATTTCATCCACTTGTGAATATAATCCTTACCCTTGTCATAAGAGACCTTTTTCTCCTAAAAACATTCTTCAGTCTCGAAAGGTTTCTGATTACAGTAGTTTATCTCTGCCTCACTCAGTGTGTTTTGTGGTAACGCTGACGTTTGTCATTCCATTATCCAGCACACTGATGCAGACCCCTCCTGCGAGTCTGATGGGCTGCTTCGGAGTGGCCCGTCCTCCCCGGGAATCGCTCTGGGTTCTAGCAATGTAAAGTCGTCTTTCAGCGCTAACAGTGGAGGGTCCCAGGCTGCAGGGTTCAGTCCTGGCGGGTCCCAGGCGTACGTTGATTTTTCTTCCTAGGCACCATTCTTTTAAAACCTAGAGGCAAAAAAATAATAATAAAAAATAAAACCTAGAGGCAGTGACATTCCTGTTTGTGAGGGAAAACCCTCATCACACGAATGTGTTTTTCTGGAGGATTTCCACTATTTCTTTAACTTTTTATTTTGAAATGATTATAAATTCGTTGGAAGTTGCAGAAATAGCACAGAGAGATTCCGTGGACCTCTCACTCAGTTTCCACCGGTGCTAACGTGTTACGGGGGATTTCCCTTGGCCACTTCCAAGGAGAGCTGCTCTGCTTTGGGCAGCTCTCCTTGGTCTCTCTGGTGTCTTCATCATTGTGCTCAGTCCTCGTTGCACTTGCACGAGAATTTCCCTAGCCAGAAGATGTCACTGGGTAGTGGGATTCTTGTCCTCGCTCTGCCATTATCTTCCTGATCTAAAAGCACTTAACTCGCCTCAGCCTAATTTCTTTTATAAAATGAGCACGTGGGTCACCCAGTCTTTGATTTTTCTGTGATTGGGTAACAGAAAGCACAACCACACAACCAGAAGACATAGCTGATCAGCACTTGCCTGAGCAGTGCACCCTGGTTATTTTCCTCCTTACTTTCTGGACAAACTGAGAGGTTTTTTGTTTTTTGTTTTTTTTTTAATATTTTATTTATTTATTTGACAGAGGCACAGCGAGAGAGGGAACACAAGCAGGCGGAGTGGGAGAGGGAGAAGCAGGCTTCCCGCTGAGCAGGGAGCCTGATGTTGGGCTCGATCTCAGGACCCTGAGATCATGACCTGAGCTGAAGGCAGACACTTAACGACTGAGCCACCCAGGTGCCCCCAAACTGAGAGGTTTTAAAACTGAAATGTTGCATAGGCTAATTTCTAAGATAATTAAAGAGAATAATAAGAGCAATTTCGAGTCGGTTAAGTTAGAGCTAGAAGTTCAATGGGAGGCCAGTGATGTGGAAGGATAACGAAGGCATATCAATCTATTTCCTATTAGAAAGAAATTCACACCGAAGTCTAAGGCATCTGCAAATTTTAAGTTGAAAAGAATGACTTTAGAAAGTGGATTCAGGGGCACCTGTCTGGCTCAGTCATAAATAAATAAATAAATAAATGTATTCGGAATTACTAAAACTCAAGATGTTTATTATCTTTAGTGATAATTCCCACATAATTGGCTTGTTATGCATGAATATGTTATTTGTAATTATTATTAATGGTCTTTAATAGAAGTTGCATGTCTTTTTTATTTCTGATACTAATCACTGGGTGAAGAGCATTGTCAATTTTTGTATTGTTTCAGTAGGGCATGGCTGGTAACCAGATTAAAAAAAAAAAAGAACCAGATTTATGTAGAGAATGTGGATCTATGCTGGATGTTTTATGAACAAACACGAAGCATTCCAGCCTAGAAGCATTACTAAAATTGCTTTTAGGAAAGCCTTTCGTCTGGGGCATCATTTTGTCTGTCTCTCCTGTCTCACATTCTCATCAGAGTAAATAATTGTACAACTTAAATTCTCCATCCCATACAACCTCTTCAAATTTTTTATTTCCTTTGATTTAATTGCAAGGCTGGACTCCTCTGCCTGACTCACATGTTTATGCTGCACAGGCTTTGGAATTGGTAGCCAATCCTTGCCAAGACTAAGAGCTGAGTAGCCTAAGAACAAACTTCTCACCAACTTAAGAAAAATGAAATTTGCCAAGAGTTGGTTAAAGTAATACAGAAAGAGGCAGCGCTCCCACCCACGATAACATCCACCCAACTAATTTCATACTTACAGAAGGTTTTTTTTTCTCCTTCCCCTTACTCTGTTCACATTTGCTGATTCTCTCACACCTGATGACTCTTCTCTCAAATGCCCATCCTTGGTGTTTCTTCGAAGTTTTGTGCACCGAGGGCGGCCTGAGCCCCTGGATCTCCACTTGGGCATGTTCTTGCCTACTTTACTTCACCAGGCAACCGCGGAGCAGCAGGAACGCTTCTTCATGCCCGCCTGGAACTTGGAGATCATTGGCACTTATGCCCAGACAGAGATGGGCCATGGTACGGTGCATTCAGTCTACCTTCTGGGTTGGGGGCGGGGCTCTGCAGGCTTAGCGTATGTGGAGAGCCCACTGTATGTTAGCAAGGGCATATCCACGTACCGTGGTCTTTCTGCAGAAGCCAGGTTTTTTACATATACAAATCTTGGCATAGATGGGGCTTTGGTCAGTGGAAATTAAAGGTTATGTTATCACAGAGATATGCTGATTATTCTTTTTCATGGTTCCCCTTCAGTGAGTCAAGAATTACAAGTTAAGATTTATTTACTGAGTGGTTTTTCAAGTTCACTGGAGTTGTGTAGAATTTGTGTGCATGTAGCATCTGAACCCATCTTTTCTTTCTTCGGTACGATCTGATTCCCTTTCCTACAGATACCTTAATGAACTTGCACAAATTCCAGAAGAAACACAGATCAGTAGTACAGATGCTCTCTGACTTGCTTGAGGGAAATGAGCGGCTTGTATAACCATAACTCAGTCAAGGTCTGAAGGTAGCTTGGCCAAAGATTACGGGGGAAAAAAAAAAAGATAAGCTGTTTTGGAGGGAGTGGCTCTCCCTGTTAATCTGGTCTGAATTGGTGTCTCTGTTTGCTATTCATTTCCTTCTGTCTTCTCCTTTCCTATTTCAAGGTTTAAGAACTGATCTAATGTAATGTATATTTGCCATGTGCTCTCATTTCTGTGCAACTTTATCTTAATTTTATAGCTAATTTGGCTCTTGGTACTAAATTGTATTTTACAGGATTTTTAGAAGACCCAGAGTGGAGTATTGTTTGGTTCCATTGTGCGTTTGCAAACATTCTGTCATTATCTGTTCTGTTACTCTGTTACTTCTTTTCCTGTAAAAACTTCTTTGCTGAAAGTGCCTGGTTCCTGGATTCTCACGTGTACTTGAGAAGGTTGTGGATCACACATGAAGTGGCCATTTCTCTTCCTCAACTTGGAGGTTTCTAAATGTTTCAAAGTTTAAGTGTTTAATGAGGTCTGGAATTATCTAAGCAGTTTGGGAAAAGGTTCTCAGCATTGGCTTCAGGATAGTATATTAGAGGGAGTGTCACTTAGAATATTTTTCTGTAACTGTTTTCAAAGAATTTTGGCACATTTGTATTAGGATTTAAAGCATGAATCTTTGTCCATCTCCAGTAAACATGACACTGGGAACTCTTCTAGGCACAGTAATGAACCAGCCAGCGTCGAAGTTAAGGCCTGGTGTTGGAAATCGCAGCGTGCACTCAGACCTTATTACTGGACCTTTAGAAATCAAAAAAAAGGTCACTGTTCCAGGTCTTTTTCCCCATAATGTATATCTTTTTGAAGTCTGGTTTTCCATTCTAGAAATCACTCTGAAGTAAGTCTTTATAAGAACTTTGGCTGAAGTCTCTTTCTGTCACCTGTTATCTAGTCTTTGTAAATAGAAAAGCCCAGAATGTTGAACTGGTGTGTAGATACCGCACATGAGTTGAAATTGGCACATTTAAACTTAGAGATGTTATTTTAAAAGAGCAGTTAACTTCCCTGTTACATTCCTATCCTATGATCTCGTGAAAATATGATTCTAAACTGCCTTTATATTTTCTTTTGGTTGATCTAAATAGAGGTGCATTAATTAAAAAGTATAGAAATAGAACATGCTTGACATTTATATTTTCACCTTGATAGGAACTGCCTGGTTTGAATATAGGAAATTATAGGGTGCTTGGCTCAATCGGTAGAGCATGTGACTCTTAATCACGGGGTCATGAGTTTGAGCCCAATATTGGATTTACTTTAAAAAAAAAAGTATAGGGAAGTATCTGTATCGGTTATTAACTATTTGTAGCTCGTCTACAAATGTCTTGTTGTTGTTAGATTTTGTTGTTCTCTGAGATACTGGAGCTGAAAGGACGGGGCAGGAGATTTTACCCTGTGCCTATTTGTTCCCATATTTTATCCAAGGTGAATGTAACTTGTTTCCTTAGGAACTCATCTCCGAGGCTTGGAAACCACAGCCACTTACGATCCTGAAACTCAGGAGTTCATTCTCAACAGCCCTACTGTGACCTCCATCAAGTGGTGGCCTGGTGGACGTACGTGAATTTTTTAGCATTTGTTGGATGTTTTGATGAGTTATTACAAGATGGTGTTTAGGATGTAGAGCTTCTATGGGAATATCATTTTGAAATGTAGGAAACACTCTGAAGTCTTAGGCTCTTCTCGGCTGTTGATAGTCTCCTGTAGTGCTTGTTGTAGACCTGTCCTCCATTTACAAGGCGCAGAAGGGACAGCTGTCTCACTCTGAACTTTGCATTTGAACATTCCCATCATTAGCGCAGTTTCCTTAGTCACCATGTAAAGCAGCTTAGTCTTCCCTGTGTGGTTATAAGTTATAAGTAATTTAAATGTAAACAGCCGCGTGTGGCTAGTGGCCACTGTTTTGGAAAGCACTTCCTTAAGGGAGAAAAAGGAAATAAATTAATGTTTTTATGGTTATCCTAAAAAAAAAGTATGTAAATGAATGAGAAACAAGTAGAAAAGAAAGTAAAGTCTTTCTAATTAATTTTTTTTAGTAAAGTCTTTCCTAAAATGAAGGATTACTATCAAATCAACAAACTGTACACCCTAAGCTCACAAATGTTGTAGGTCCATAATATCTCAATAAAATGTGTATAAAAGCTTTTATAGATATAGAATGAAGGATTGCTTTGCCAAAATTCAATAAATTTTAATGACTATCAGCTTAAGTGAATTTCTTTCTGAAAACTGGGTGTGGTACTATTGTAAGCCTCTTGGGTACACTTTATCGATGGAGGCTGGTATTTAACATACGGTTTTTCCCCGTATTTTTTTTTTTTTATTTCTTTTATTTTGTCTTTTATTTCTGTCTTTTGAAAGTGTGAGAAAGTTTGCTCACTTCTCTCTCCTGTTCTCTTTGATGTTCCAGTTGGGAAGACTTCAAATCATGCAATAGTTCTTGCCCAACTCATCACTAAGGGGAAATGCTACGGATTACATGCCTTCATCGTACCTATTCGTGAAATTGGGACCCATAAGCCTTTGCCAGGTTAGAATTGTTTGTCTGCTGTTGAGATGAAAAACTAAACCGATCGCTTTCTTCTGCAAAAAGTATAGCACACAACGAAAGAGGCCAGGGCAGCCCGGGAATTGCGGAGCGTAAGCACCTTGTGACTTTCCTTTCATCTGTGGTAGGTATTACCGTGGGAGATATCGGCCCCAAATTTGGCTATGATGAGATGGATAATGGCTACCTGAAGATGGACAATTATCGTATTCCCAGAGAAAACATGCTGATGAAGCATGCCCAGGTATCTTTGGAGGAGCAGAGGTATCAAACGTGGGGGTTTCAGCGGCTGTTGATAACCATGGGGTTGCGAGGGTGTGTTTTTGTAGAAGGTAATAACATATTTTCACTTCTGATGCTTCTTTTATTAATGACAGTGAAATCAAGAGCAGTTGGCAGGTATGAAGAACATATTCTAGTTTGCTAAACCAATGGGTCTCAAACTTCAGCGTGCGTTAGAATCACCTGGAGGGCTGTATAAAGTACAGGGTGGGGATGAGGTTTTGTATTTCAAGCAAGCTCCCTGGAGATGCTGCCATTCTGGGGACAAGCCTTTGAGAATCATGAGCACAGACTGCCACTTGGATTTAACAGAAGGAAGCATCAGTCCCATGTTCTTTGTCCAGGTGAAGCCGGATGGCACGTACGTGAAACCTGTGAGTAACAAGCTGACCTACGGGACCATGGTGTTTGTCAGGTCCTTCCTTGTAGGAGAAGCCGCTCGGTCTCTGTCCAAGGCTTGCACTATCGCCATCCGATACAGCGCTGTGAGGCACCAGTCCGAAATCAAGCCAGGGTAAGGGAGGCATCTGAGATTGCTGAAGACCTACCTTTGACCCCATCCAAATATCAAAATTCCCAAATGTGATCTCGAAGAATACGCATTAGCCTTGCAAAATCAGCTAAGGTGGCAGTGTGCTGGGTCTGCTCCTTAGAAACTAGACTTCCTTTAAGTAGAGAGATGAGGATAGCCACTTTATTATTTTTAACCTAAGAAAAACAGTAATACTTACTTGAGCTCTATAAATGAGATGTTTAGGGGCACCTGAGTGCCTCAGTTGGTTAAGCGTCTGCCTTCGGCTCAGGTCATGATCCCAGAGGAGCCCCGAGTCGGGCTTTCTGCTCAGCAGGGATCCTGCTGCTCCCTTCCTCCCTGCTAGTGTGCTCTCTCTCTCTCTCAAATAAATAAAAATCTTTTTTTAAAAAAATAAATGAAATGTTTAGAACACTAAAGGCAGTTTGAAAATCCTGATTGCTCCTAACAGCTGTGAATTGGGTATGTTGGGAATGGCATGAATGGGACTCCCTGTTGTGTTCGTAGCCGTAGGTTAGTCTTACTGCCTTTCACTTGAGTGTGACTCCCTGATGACCTTTTTAACTCCCATAGAAGGAATAAAGACATTGATAAGAGCTGACCGTCTTAGATGTCACATGGTTAACTCTGTGCATTGGGCCTTTTCCAAAATTATGGTTAATAGTTTTTTCAGCCATCTAGTGTGTTAGACTTCTTTATCATTGCTTTCCTTCTGTGAAGTTAACTTTGATTTTTGTATGTTGCTATGAGATAGTTTCCTTAGTTATACTGCAGAGACTAAGATAGATACGAACTTCACAGCTAGAAAATACTCCCCGCCTAGGCGGTTCAACAAGGTGGTTGAGAACATGGTTTTCTGTAGCCAAACAGCCTAGATTTCAACTGAGTGAGCATCTGCCACATATTCGCTGTGTGACCTTAGGCTGGTTCTTAACCTCTTTTTCCCCTTGGTGAAATGGGGAGAGTGCTAGCTTTTCAGTATGTCAAAGTATTTAGACCAGGATCTGGTGCATAATAAGTTCTATGTAAGTGTTTACTTTTGTTTCTTCTCTATCCTTTAGTGAACCAGAACCACAGATTTTGGATTTTCAGACCCAGCAGTATAAACTCTTCCCACTCCTGGCCACTGCCTATGCCTTCCAGTTTGTAGGTGCGTACATGAAGGAGACCTACCATCGAATTAATGAGGACATTGGCCAAGGGGATCTAAGTGAATTGCCTGAGGTATGTGTTTCCTCATTTGCTTGTGGGCACCCTTCTGTTTGATATTTGCCTGTTGGATAATGTCCAGAGAAAACTAAATGTTGGGATTTGAGAAGAATCCATGTGTTCTCAAAAGATACAGCCATTATTTTAATTGAAAGTGAATCAGATATGAAGATATGTGGGTTTTGTTTTTTTAAGTTTCAGAAGTACTATACCGTGTTGGTTGTTTATTAATCAAAGGAACATAAGTGGTGACTTTTTTGCCAAGTGGAACACTGTGGAAGGGAATGTGGGAACAATATGAATTCAGGCCACTGAGATGACCGTGCTTCAGTTTGCACGCGTGGCAAGTGATGTGGCAAGTGACCAGCACTGTTAGGGGAGGAAGAGAGGGCTTCTTCCTGTGAGGCTCAGACCGTCGGCGCCACCCGCGCCCTGACAGCCTGTGCATCCCCTCCAGCTCCACGCCCTCACTGCTGGCCTGAAGGCTTTCACCTCCTGGACGACTAATGCTGCTATCGAAGCCTGTCGGATGGCGTGTGGCGGACATGGCTACTCTCACTGCAGTGGCCTTCCAAATATCTATGTCACTTTTACCCCCACCTGCACCTTTGAGGGAGAGAACACTGTCATGATGCTGCAGACGGCTAGGTGAGAATCTGATTTGTGCTCTATCTGGTATTAAAACGTTTGAGGGGCGCCTGGGTGGCTCAGTCCGATAAGCATCCAATTCTTGGTTTTGGCCCAGGTTGTGATCTCAGGGTCCTGGGATTGAGCCCGGCATCAGGCTCCGTACCCAGTGCAGAGTCTCCTTGGGATTCTCTCCCCTCTCCTTCCGCCCCTTTAGCCAACCCGCATGCCCTCTCTCTCTCTCAAAAAAAAAAAAAAAAAGAGTCCTCTTCATCAGTTCCTGTTCCCATGTTTGCTCTTCATGTTACATTTGTTCCTGAGAGATGGTGGTTTTGCCTTCCATCCTGACCCACTGGTCTTATCTTGTGGTCGGCCCAGCGAGTGCAAAACGCTTATCGCATTGCTTAAAGTCACTGCAAGAGTTTATCTGTTTCCCGAGAAATATAGTTACCGAAAGATGTGCACTGGTGATTTTTAGGTTCCTGATGAAAAGTTACGACCAAGTGCACGCAGGGAAGTTGGTGTGTGGCATGGTGTCCTACTTGAATGGCCTGCCCACTCAGCGCATCCAGCCGCAGCAGGTAGCAGTGTGGCCAGCTGTGGTGGACATCGACAGCCCCGACAGCCTAACGGAAGCATACAAACTTCGTGCGACCAGGTGAGCCCCCGCCCTGGGAGCTGGGGGTACCTCTGGGAGCTGGGGCCTGAGTACTGCCCGGCATTTCCTGCAAGATCCGATTTTCTTTCACTTCTTAACAGATTGGTGGAAATTGCTGCAAAAAACCTTCAAAATGAAGTGATTCACAGAAAAAGCAAGGAAGTAGCGTGGAACCTAACTTCCGTTGACCTTGTTCGAGCAAGCGAGGTCAGTGATAGTTCTCCCTCTCTCTCTCTCTCTCTTCTCTGTCCCTCTCCATCCTTCACACCGTCCCAACCCATTTTCTTAGTGCAGAAACCCTTGTTGCTGTGTGGTGAATCTTTTTCAAAGGTTCTCTCATTCTGGTGTTTTCTTTTTATCTAGGCACATTGCCACTATGTGGCAGTTAAGCTTTTTTCAGAAAAACTCCTCAAAATTGAAGATAAATCTGTCCACGCTGTCTTAAGGAATTTATGTCTCTTGTATTGTCTGTATGGAATCAGTCAGAAGGCAGGGGATTTTCTTCAGGTGAGTATTTTCTGAATTTAAGTCTGGTTTTTTTTTTTGGTAGAAAAATCTTTGTGGTCTACTTTATAGTTGTGTGTGTGCACATATATATGAATGTTTGTCTGTATATGTGTATATATGTGTTTGTTTGCTTGTTTTATCTCTTCTAGGGAAGTATCATGACAGAGTCTGAGATTACCCAAGTAAATCAGCGCATAAAGGAGTTGCTGATAGCAATTCGCCCAGATGCTGTTGCTTTGGTGGATGCGTTTGATTTTCAGGATGTGACACTCGGCTCTGTGCTTGGCCGTTATGATGGGAACGTGTATGAGAATTTGTTTGAGTGGGCCAAGAAATCCCCACTGAACAAATCAGAGGTACAAAAAACAATGTCTTTTCACCTTTTGAAATTCTTCATCACATATTAAGTCAGGAAAGACCTCAGAGGTGACTCCTCTGTGAAAGGTTTTTTTTTGTTTTCTTTTTTAAGATTTTATTTATCTGACAGAGAGAGACACAGTGAGAGAGGGAACACAAGTAAGGGGAGTGGGAGAGGGAGAAGCAGGCTTCCCGCTGAGCAGGGAGCCAGACGTGGGGCTCGATCCCAGGACCCTGGGATCATGACCCGAGCCGAAGGCAGACGCTTAACGACTGAGCCACCCAGGCACCCCTCCTCTGTGAAAGTTTTGGAAGCTCCTGTGGCCTCTATGGACAGTCACTTTGAATAACAGATTCAGAAGGAAACTGGGTTGTTCCCACAGTACACAGGTCTTTCATCTCCTTGAGTGTTGAGTAACTACTGGACATGTTCAAACATATACAAAAAGAGAATACTGTAATACACCCCCGTGTACCCTTTGTCACACCTCAGTGACTAATCTCCTGGCCATTGTGTTTCACCTGAAAACCCTCCCTCTGCCCCGCGCCCCCTTCCCTCTGCCCCGCGCGCGCTCCCCCCGCCCCCCGTCTCCACCGTCTCCCCTAGGGATTGTGGTGCTACAAATCCAAGATATTGGGCGCCTGGGTGGCTCCGTTGGTTAAGCAGCTGCCTTCGGTTCAGGTCATGATCCTGGAGTCCCAGGATCGAGTCCCACATCGGGCTCCCTGCTCAGCAGGGAGTCTGCTTCCCCCTCTGCCCCTCCCCCCTCTCATGTGCTCGCTCTCTCGTTCTCTCTCTCAAATAATTAAAATCTTCAAATCCAAGATATTAGATAACTTTATCCATGGATATTTCAGTGTGTGTCTCTTAAAAGATAAGGACTTTTTGAAAACGTGACCACAGTGCCATTCTGCCCCCAAATAGGAATCATGTCATGAACTACCCAGTGTCCAAATTCCTCAATTAACTCAATTTTTTTTTCCCTTCAGTGTTTTGGATCACGATCCAAATAAGGCCCAGATACCTTCTCAGTTAAAAGTGTGCTAGTTGATGCTGCAGGCCCCCCGTCAGTAATTCTTTCTCTCTCCCTTCCCTGCAGGTCCATGAGTCTTACTTCAAGTACCTGAAACCACTGCAGTCCAAGCTCTGAAGGGTCATGGGGACAAGTGCAGTTCGCTCCAGAAAGAGCTGGACTCGACACCCCTTACACTTGTCACACAAAGCTGCTTGGGATCTTGACCAAACTCAGAGAGCTATAGAGCAAATGATAAATTGAGCCCTTTCCTCTTTTTATAAATGAAGAAAAAATGAACAGATTTCAGAGATTAAATGAAAAAAAACGGATGTGTTTTAAATGCCATTAACACTGCATGAGGCCTGTTGGGCGTCAGAAAGAGCTTTAAGAGATGCAGCATGACTTCCATCTGTGGTGCTGCTGACCCCAGTAGGCCATGACCTTGGATAATTCGTAGAATGTAACTACTAAGTAGTTAATTATTTTCACCTCTTAATTGCTAATCACTGGATCTGTAAGTGTTTTTACTTAAAGGTATTTTTTAAGTGGGGTAAAGCCCTTCCCACCTTTTCTGCTAAATGTTCTTCTGCTCCTGCCATGGCCCTGGCCAAGAAGCAGTACTGAAGAGAAGGGATTCGGGGAAAGAAACAAATCGGGAAACTTAGTGTGAGTGAAATGTGTGCCTGACACATTGACACCACTTCTGCCTGCTTGCCCCTTTTTGCCGATCTGTTGTTACCACCTAACTATTCGCGGTAGCATCTTCCCGTCACAGGGGGACCTCCAGCGCAGGGCTAGCATAGGATCACTGTCCCGTGTCAGTAGGAATTAATCTTCCGTTTGAGGGATCCCTAAATCATCGGTGCGGTAGCACAGCAACTCACTTCCTAAAACTTCTTGGGAAGGGGCAAAATAGGCAAAATCATCTCTGCATTTGACGCTTGGCAACTGATGGCACCTCCATCAGTGGTGATTCATCTCCCTCCCCCTTGCCCTGTCCTGGAAGAGATGCTAAGAAACAAGAAGGGGTCACAATTCCTTCGTAGTAGAATGAGTATAGGGAGAGCTCTCTTAGTTGCAGTTACTGTGACTGTGGTGTCCCTACCAACTGGTTATTCTGGAAAAATACAGATTTTATATGTTCTGCCATTTGTCATAAGCTGTTACAGTGCTTGGAGCTCACAGTGTCTGGCTGTATAAAGATAGAAGCATCACTCAGGCCACCTCTTCTGCCCAGGAGTACCACAGAAAACTCCTTTGACAAACCATGTCTTCTGGTTTTTGGATATAAGTCATTGAATCAATATAATCATCGAAACTATGGCTAAAGGATAAATGCAAGCTGCATAGAATCGCTTTCCTATTGTACACTGGCTTTATTTTCAGTCTTTCTAGGAGCTTGATCTGAATTGTGACATTGTCCTTTGAGCTGAAATCTAATTTACAAAATCATTCTACATTTAGAGGTTAAACATGTACTTCCAAATGAAGGTTTTTCTTAAAATCGATGTAAAACAGCATCACTTGATTTTTTTTTTTAATTTTATTTATTTATTTGACAGAGACAGAGAGGGAACACAAGCCGGGGGAGTGCGAGAGGGAGAAGCAGACTCCCCCCCGGCCCTGAGCAGGGAGCCCGGTGTCGGCCTCGATCCCAGGACCCTGGGATTATGACCTGAGCCAAAGGCAGACGCTTAAAGATTGAGTCACCCAGGTGCCCCATGATTTTTTTTTTTTAATAACCTGTTAACTGTATCTGTGACATCTGTCTTATGAAACCAGTTGTTCTAGAATCAGTCTTGAGAATGTAGTATAATTCGGGCGAAATGTCGTCCCTACCTTGGGACCCAACATAAAATCTGTCCAGTGAAACCAGTTACATGAGACTTTTTAAGATTGAAGTAACAAGCACTGTGTTAATTTCTTTGGGATATGTCTTGACAATAGTTCAGATTCTTGGAAATAACATTAAATCGCTTAATATTGACCTGTTAAATGTAGAACTGCTTCAAAACTAGTGGTTAAATACCTTATTCGCAGATGAACATCTGTAGTTGGGATCTGAGTGTGTTTGAATTAACACCCACCTAATCCCGCTGCATAGATCTGGGATCTCTCTAGGCAGGTTTGAGCAAGTTGTAGACACCACAGAGCCACCTTCAGTCCAGCACCTCGAGTATTATTTAAAAGCGAAATCTGATATTTGATACTGTTTTTATTAATATTGGGATTTTTGTCTAGTACTTTATTCACTGTAACCTGAGAATATAGTAAAACCTCCCTAATTTGTACTATCACGAGGAAAAGAGAATGCCACATAATTAAAAAGTCTAAGCTACGAAGAATTTTAAGGTCCAGGTTTAATGACGTTATCAGGTGCAGGTAACACTAAGAAAACAAAGCGCGCCCGCCCCAGTGGAGGAATGCATGCTTGTTGGCAGCACTTAAAGGAAGCGGTAGATCCAGTTTGCACTCCCAAAGAAGCCAGGTCTGTGCTACAGATAAGTTTGGTTCTTTTGTGAGCCATTTTCACCAAAAGTACAAAGATAAATTTAAACCTACTCTTCTCTAAAATGATAAATGCTAAGAGAATGAGATTTTTCTATTAGATACTGATAGAAGCGTTTTTTTCTTTTTGAAGTACTATGAACAGAACTAAAAATTGGAATTTTGAGGTTTAATAGGATTTTGCTATTTGTAGTGGATGAAGGTTGATTCTTCCTGAAGTGTTTGGAGCTCTACTTTGTGCTCTGGTAGATATATACAGAGGAGTATTTCAGTGGACATTAGTGGTTTCAAAGCACAATTGGTTCCAAAGCCTTTGGGGCCTCTTTCATATTCTTGGCTTAAGGACATAACAGCGCTAAGTATCAGCTTATCTTCAGAACATTGACCTAATTGCAACATTAACTATATTCACATGCTTTCCGAGAACTCCCTGCCTGTCATTTCAGATTTCATATACCTGGAGGCATTTTACAGATCCTAAACATGCTAGGTCTTAATTATTGGGTTTTCTTCAGCGCAGGGCTTTGGCTGGAGAAACATGACCCATTCAAATTCATGAAGAATGAAAATTGTTTAGATGGCTTGGCTCACAGGCCCTCCTGCCTTTTCGGAGCCTTTTCCATCCGTCTTATTAGGAAGAGATGAGGTGCAGGTGTGCACACCTGCTAATCTTTATAAATGTGGCAGGTATGCCCAGGGTCTTAGGTTGCCTTCAAGCAGTGGCAGGAAAGGGGTTCTTCTACCTGAGACCAAGAGTCTTTTGTTGATTCTCCTTACTCAAAGATTTGGATTATTTTCATGAAATAATGCAGAGGTCATTTTAGCTAAGTACTACTCCATTCTTGGAGGATCTGACCAAGTCACACTGTAAATGACTGAAATTATTTTTTATTTTAAAATACCAATAGACTTTTGCTTTTAGCTGTACACACTAAATTCTCACTACCTATTCGTGTGCTCCATGATGGTAAACATAGAAACATGAGGAATCTTTAGAGTTACCAGGTGTTACCTGTTGCAGACCTGCAAATTCCTAGATTCCAAGGGTTTTTTGTTTTGTTTTTATTTTGCTTTAAATTTAGTTGGGCCACTGGGGCAACTAAGGGTCTGCCTTCGGCTCAGGTCATGATCCTGGAGTCCTGGGATCAACCCTGCTCGTGCTCTCGCTCAAATGAGTAAATTTTTAAAAAAATAATACATTTAATTGGGCCATTGATTATCTTAGGAAGATCACGAAAAATTGGGGAGTGATTTTAAGAATTCTGAACCAAAATAGGTTGTTTTGCCACAATACTGTTGACTACTTCATAGTTTAGGTAGCAAACATATAACCTTCCACATAATATTCAGACTGCTGAGATAAACACCATTTTATTTCCAATTGCTGTAGATTCAAGGAAGTTACTTGTATTCTTCAGAGTGTATAATTCCTTGCTACCTTTTCCCCTTTTACTGTTAGGGTTTGCGTTCGGTTCCTACCTGACAAGATGCATTTAGCATGTATTGTTATCCAACCTTGGCTGGACCTGTCAGTGCAGGCGCGAGTACCGAGGAGGTGCACGGGTCCAGAACTTCTGAACCATGATTGGACAGCTGTGACCCGCTAGCCCTGCTTGTGGGCTGCGGGTAAGCCAAACCATTACTCCCTTTTTCCTTTGTAAAATTGGAAAAAATCCTTAATAAAACCTGTGGTTAACACAAAATGTGTTACGTGCCTTTATTGGGTGGCAATACTGGGTTCTGTTCTGGCTCCACAGCTTTGATTTTCTTTCTTTTTTAAAGATTATTTGAGAGAGTTAAAGCGCACAAGCAGGGGGGAGGGGTAGAGGGAGAAGCAGACCCCCGCAGAGCAGGGAGCCCACCATGTGGAACTTGATCTGAGGACCCTGGAATCATGACCTGAACCAAAGGCAGATTCTTGACTTGAGCCACGCAGGTGACCGCAGCTTTGATTTTCACAATTGAACCGGTAGGTCACAGCCATTTCCCTAAGCTTTGGGATGTGGGACACATACATAATTGTTCATGGTATCGCACATCAATTTTCCAATCTTAATACATTTCTCATGCCCCCCACCCGGCCACAAGTCAGCCCTCAGAGGAGGTCCTGGGACCCAGGTCCCGGCAGTCCCTGGGGAGGGCGAGAAGAAGGGGAACTGCCTTGGAGCCGGCCGCCCTCCTCCCACAGTGGCCTGGCGCCAGCACCTAGCAACTCGCCGGGCCGCAAACAGAGGCTAACGGCCGCGGCGGGGCACTCTGGGAAATGTAGTTTATCTCGGCGTCCCCAGCTCCCTTGACTCTGGTCAATGAACGGACCAAGGACTACAACTCCCAGGGTGCCTCGCGCTTCGCCTTCCTTTCGAAGTCCGGGCGATTGAGAGATTGGCGTCCGCGGGCCTCCGGAGCGGGAGGCCGGAGCGAGTTGGGCTCGAGTGGGGTCCGGACCAGCGGCTGTGGCTAGCGGCTGCGCCTCCGCGGGGAATGGCGCGTAACCCGGGAGATTTCAGGGGCTGGGAGGAGAGTAGGCCGCGCTCGGGGTTGATCTGGGATGGGCGCGCGGAGGGGGTGACGCAAGGAGGGGCGCGGAGTCTCCGGACCTACGGGGTGACCCGGAAGGGCCCTTGCTAAGGATTTTAAAATGCCTGGCACGGTGTTGGCTGAGCAGTTGCGATGACGCGATGGTACTCTGTGGCACTTTGGCCTTTGCAAGCTTCTCAGAGATTCCCCCGGTCTGGGAGGCTAGGACGGAATCCCTAGGAGATGGCAGAAGCTCTCCGGTGTGATGTGAGACAAAACGTGTTTGGACTTGTAGGTCCTGAAAATTGCCATTATAAAGAAAGAGAAACACAAACATTCAGAGTGGCCCCTATAAGTAATCCCAGATGAATTTTGCATTCTGTTAACAGGACCTGCAACACCAGACAAATAAGAGATGACCCCCTCTGACTCCTTTCTTCCAAGGCAGGGACTGTCGGCCTTGGTAATGCTCAGGAAGGGTAAGGAGAGTGACATTCTGAGTCAAACACTTCACTGTTAATGGATGAAGTCGGATTTACAGTTACCGTGAAGGGAAAAATTTCCACCATCGGTGAAAATAGTTTCAAGGAGTAAAACCAGCGCACACATCCACTCTTGGTGCTGAATGCACAAATGTAGTCATGGGTGTTGCCTGGGAATGCATATTGGCCATAGTACCAGGCACCTACCTCCTTTCTGAGATGGGTACCTACCATCTCCTGCATCCTCTTTCAGGATAAGAGATGAGGGCCACCGCAGTCATTAAGTCACTGAGAGTACTTTGCTTCTCATCTAAGTAGCTCTCCCTATAAGGAATTTTTAATTTATGGGACTAGATTTTAACCTCTTGAATGGGTAAAGTGAGAGAAACCTAGATGGGCCTTGGACCCAAGCACTGTTAAAGCTACATCATTTTTAAGCAACCACTTGAATTTTCTTCACTAGGGAGGATGAGTCTGATGTGGGCAGAATTCAAATGAGCTGGACAGCACTGTGAACAAGCTACAAGCAGCTCCCAGAGCCTTGAGATGGTAGGCAGAATGCAGACTCTCACCACTACTTCCACCCCCAAGATCTTGACTGCCTGGAGAACTTTAGGGGCTGGGTGACAAGGATTAGGATATGGTCCCCAGAGAAGAATGATGGGAGGTAGAATTGATACCAAACTTATTAAAAGATGAGCAAGCCTTCTGAGCCTCTGAATGGCCAGCCGGAAGCATTTTTAAGTGTCCCTTTTTGGTGTTGAGAAGTCAGGGACACAGAAGAGGGGAAAACTTTCCCAGTCGTGTTACATCCTGCCTGGGAGGGTTTGCAGGTGGCATCTGGAAATCAGGGAAAGGAGAGACTTCTGTCCACCGGATGTCACCCACAGTGGTGTCCATTGCTGGTTAGTGGGGGCTGTTTCCGTGCTCTGAATGAGTCTATTCTCAGAAATTCTGGGAAAGCATAAAGAGCTCTGTCTCTAAATGCCATTGGTGCTCCTTTTCCTCTGGTGACTTGGCAGAAGGCACAACAATTTATTCTGTATTCTCAGTTTCAGCCATGTTCACTGTTTGATTTTGTTAATGTGATTTGTTTTTCCAATGTTAGGCACCAAAAACCAAAAAGGGATTGAAAGGTAAGTGGAAAAATGGAATATCACCCTTAAGGCAAAAATAATTCCCCACCTTTCATCCAAAAATAACGTAGACGTATCTGTATCTAAATGTTCTTGATGTGAGTCTTGCTGGTTTCCCCCATAATTGCACAGGAAGCTTTGGTCTTCATAGGGGACTCTCTCTGCTGCCTATTAGCCCTCAGAGTAATCCAGAAATAAATAGACAGGGGTGGGGCTTGGGGAAAAAGTCCTTCTTGTCGGGATCTGTATTGAGAAGTGGTTGGCGTTAAGGGTGGTAAAGGCACTTCAGCTGGGTGCAAAAACTAATTCAGTACTTGTACTTTGGGTTCCCCCCATGTGCCCCAGCTAGGGGAGGGGGAGGTCTCAGATGGAAGGGCATGAGGAAGCTGTTGGCATGAAAGAAGCTTGTGTGTGCCTAGAAATCTTGGACACTTTTCCCAAAGAAGCACACGGGGCTTTATTCAGAGTCTGGAAAACTGGCTTGTTGGCCAGTGTGTGCTGTAGAATGCAGGCGCTCCTGAAAATCCTCACCATCATCCTTTGAGAAAGTTATTTTCAATTCCTACCCTGGGGTCCTTCAACAAGGCATTGCGATCTGTTGCCAGAGAGTTAGGAAATGTCTCGTGGCCATTGAAGAGAGAGCTGGGCCCCGGTCCCAGTATCTGAGTGCTGTGGTGGTGAGGAGTCTGGAATTGGGATGAGGTCTCAAGACATGAGGCTTGTTAATGACATTCTTTCCTCCTGAAGTCTTGACAGTTCCTTTTCTGTTTGTTCTAGGCTCCATTGATGATGTCCTTGGTGACCTCTTAGGGGATGAGAGTAAGTGCCCCTTCTGCAGAATCTCCTGATTTAGGCTTGTTCTTTTTTTTTTTTTTTTTTAAGATTTATTTATTTGAGAGAGAGAGTAGGGCAGGTAGCAGTGGGAGAAACAGAGAGAGAATCCCGAGCAGACCCCCCCCACTGAGTGCAGAGCCTGATGCAGGGCTTGATCTCATGACCCCGAAATCATGACCTGAACGGAAATCAAGAGTCAGACTCTTCACCAACTGAGCCACCCAGGCCCCCCCCTTTTTTTTAATTGAAATCTTATTCAGAGAAAATTCACTGCTTTCAAGTGTATAATTCACTGGCTTTGAGTATGTTCACAAAGTTACATAATTATCACCACAATCTAATTCCAGAACACTTTCATCACTTTCATAAAGAAACTCCATGCCCATTAGCAGTCCCTCCTAGTCTCCCTTCCCCCCAGCCCTAGGCAACCACTTACTCACTTTCCTTCCTTGTGGGTTTGCCTGTTCTGGACGTGTTGTATAAAATGTCATCACATCATACTTGGCTTTTGCATCTGGCTTTCTTCACTCATCATGGTGTTCTCGAGGTTCACCCACACTGAGCCATTCCTGTCTTCATTCCTTCCTACGGCTGGACAGTATTCCAGTGTGTGGATGGACCATGTTTTGCTGATCCACTCATCACAGGTGGTGGACACCTGGGTGGTTTCCACATTTGGCCAGGCTATTATGAATGATGCTCTTAGGAACATTCAGGTACACGTTTTTGTGTGGCCATATGTTTTCAGTTCTTTTGGGGTGTGTACCGAGGAATGGAATTACTTATGTGGTAACCCTGTGTTTGACTTTTTGAGGCACCACCAGACTATTGTCCACAGCAGCAGCACCATTTTGCATTCCCTCCAGCAGCGTACGAGGGTTCTGGTTTCTCCACATCCCTGCGAACACTTGCTAATTTTCTGTCTTTTTGATTATGCCCATCTTGACGCGTATAATACGGTTTCATCTCGTTGTGGGTTTTTTTTTAATCTTTTAAAATTTAAACTCAATTAATTAACTTATAGAGTATTATTCGTTTCAGAGGTAGAGTTCAGTGATTCATCAGTCTTATGTAACACCCAGTGCTCATTCCATCGCGTGCCCTCCTTAATGCCCATCACCCTGTTACCTCATCCCCCACCCCCTGCCCTCTCATGGTGGTTTTAATGTGCATTTCCCTAGTGACTATTGACATTGAGCATCTTTTTCATGGGTTTATTGGCCATTTGTGTATCTTTGGAGAAAGGTCTATTCAGATCCTTTTTTTTAAATTGGGTTGTCTTTTTACTATTGAGTTGTACGAGTTTCTTATATATTCTGGATATCATGTGTGTCCCCCTCTGCTGTATTGAGGAGCGGGGCTTCTGGGGTGTGGGGAGCTCACTGGGGGCAACCAGGCTGAGGCTCCCCCTACCTGGCCCAGAAGAACCCATGGAGCCCAAGCCTTGTCTTCAGCCGAGAGCTCTGAGTGATGGAAGTGCATCATTCTTCCTGCGCTTGATGGGGTGTGGTGGGGTTAGGCTCTTCATTGGGCCCCAGTTGGCATTTAGGGTGAACTTCCTGGGAGAAGGTTTTCCTGGGAGAGCTTGGGGAACTGCCAGGCCTCTCCACCTGACTCCAGCTCACTAGCCAAATGGCATCATTTCTGTTCTCTTTTTTTCCAGTGACACTACCTGAGGAGCCTGTTAAACTAGCTGCACGTGCCCGAGATGCCACAGGTGCCACCCAGGCGCTCCCTTCTTCCCAGGCTCGAACGAAGTAAGAGCAGGACTGGCTTGGGTGACTGTCACCCCTTCAGTCCAAATGCTGTTGCCTCCTCACCGCCCCACTTTCCACCTGCTGTGTGCCCCGCTTCTGCTGTCAGTTACTCCTCCCTTCCCCCCGTACCTGGCCCGTGAGGAACCTGAGGAGTGGAGAGCGAACTGACCAGGGGTCAGAAGTCCTGGCTGCCAGTCCTGCATATGCTACTTACTGTGTGATCTTGGGTGACTCCTGAACCTCTCTGAGCCTCAGTGTGCTCATCCCCAGAATAAGAGAATTGGCCTAGGTCAGTGGCTTTCAGGTTGTTCTTCCAAAGTGCTCCTCACCATTGAGAGATAGGAGGGAGTTTTGTGAGCTTTCCGCCCTCCACCTTCATCTTAACCAACGCAGTTCTGTTTTTCTCTCTCTCTCTCTTTTTAAGATTTTATTTATTTGTCAGAGAGAGAGAGCACAAGCAGGGGGAACGGCAGGCAGAGGGAGAAGCAGGCTCCCCGCTGAGCAAGGAGCCCAAGGCGGGACTTGATCCCAGGGTCCCAGGATCCTGACCTGAGCCGCAGGCAGACGCTTAACTGACTGAGCCATCCGAGAGTCTCTCTGTTATTCTGTCTTATCTTTTGTTTTTAACAGTTGTTTTTCCATCTTGTGGCTATTTTTCTTTTTTTGAAGTACTGTTGATACCCAGTGTTAAAATAGTTTCAAGCGTACTACATGGCAATGGGACAGGTCGAGTTATATGCTGTGCTCACCACAAGTGTTTAACAGATTGTTTTTAAAGGGCCTCTACTGCTTTAAAAAAAATGGAAAATCTCTGCATTAGGGGGCCTGTGAAATTCCTTTAAGCAACTCTGTCCCATTCTCCTGGAGAAGTCTTCCAGGTTCACCGGGGCTCTGGGCCACCTTCCTTTCTCGGAATCAGTTAGTGCCCTGGGGATGCAAGTGCTGATTGAGCCTCTTCGCAGGTCCCTCCTGGAAGACTATGGCTTCAGCACCACAGCAGGCATCCCAGGACCTGATGCTGAGGTGAGCCTGGTCCACCCTACTCCCCACCCTCTCTACTTATCCCCAGAAGCAGTGAAATAGAGCTGGTGGCTGGGAGGTTGCTCACACAAGGGTTCAGAAGTTTCTGCAAAGCCAGTGTGTTGTTTTGTTTTAAAGATTTTATTTATTTATTTGACAGAGACACAGTGAGAGAGGGAACACAAGCAGGGGCAGAGGGAGAGGGAGAAGCAGGCCCCCTGCCAAGCAGGGAGCCCGATGTGGGGCTCAATCCCAGGACCCTGGGATCATGACCTGAGCCGAAGGCAGGCACTTAACGACTGAGCCACCCAGGCGCCCCTAGCCATTGTGTTCTTAAAATAATACCCAAGGGCTGCCAGATGGACCCAGATGTGAACTCAACATGTTTTTCCTTCCTGCCAGTGAGATGAGCTAGAAAGTAGAGCTCCCAGCAAGTGTTGGAGTCTTGGATGTTGCTCCTTGTAACTGTGTTTCCCGTAAGAAGCTTCCCGGCTGTCTGGTTACATAGTTTGGAAATGGCATAGTGATGGCCTGTTGTGGAAGGGTTCTTTCCGCTGAGCAGGGACAGAAAGTGGCAGCGCTTTCTGGATCTCCACACCTGGGGAGGTTTGACTTCTGAGGACACTTCAGTCTCAGGGGAAGGTAGGACCTCCTGCTGGTGCCCTGTTGGCCGGGCTCTGCCCCTGCTGGGCCATCTGCCCTCACAGAAGCAAGGTAACAAGGAGCCAGAGCTTTATTCGGCCTCAGCTAACACGTGTCCTTGCCCTCCCGTGGACTTAGGTGTCCGACGTGTCAGATGCAGACCCACAGATTTTGCTCCAGGCAATGAAGGTACTGACTGGTTTGCACGGTTCTGGGAGCAGGGGTGGGCGTAGGAACGTTCTCTGCCAAGTCTTCCTTCTCCCTCCCATTTTTCCCTTTACAATTTGTGTTCCTGAGCCCTTCCTAGTCAAGAGAGGAGCTCATCCGTGAGCTGCTGCCCTTCGTGTCCCTCTGGATAGAAATCCAGTCTCCTGGTGTCTAGAGATTCATCCACCGGGAGACACAGTCATGCACCAAGCCCCTAGTGCGGTGGGGCTGGCTCCCACCCAAAGACACCACCCCCATTGAGGGGAAAGGAGGAGAGACTGTCCTCTAAGGCTGCTTCTTAACTGTTCTCTGTGTTTCTCTTTACATCCCCTGCCAAGTCCCCTTCAGCCCAGCTGTGCTCTCATTGGATCAAGCCCCAAGCTAAGCTTAGCAATGAAATTTTAAGACATAAATTCTGTACAGTTTATAAGATAACCCCCCAGGACTCAGGTGGCCTAGCCGGGGTCTGAACTTTAGGTCAGCTCGGCTTCCCCGCCCTTCTGTCCGGCAGCACCCTCCTTGCCTGATGTCCTGCCTCTTGTCCTCCCTGTTAACCCGTGGTCCCAGGCCAAGGCCAAGCGCTTGCTTTCAGCCTTGGGGGGAAGGGAGGGCTAAAGAATTGGAGTCTGTTCCCTTCTTGGCTCCATATTCAGCCTCTTAACCTCATCTTGAAATCACTCTTCCCCAGGGCCCTCCCACTGGCACCCCTGGCCACAGCCCTCCAGTCCTCTGACTCAGCGGCTGGTGGTGACATCGAGTCTCACTCCAGAATCCCCAGCTCCCTCTGCGTCCCCATGGTCCAGTTTTCTTTCCCAACTCCTCTATTTCCTGCATAGTCTCCCCTCTTCCCTTTGTTCCTCACACCTCTGCCCCTGGGGTGCCAAGTGTCCTCCCAGATACAAGTCCTCATCCCCTTATGAGGGTCAGCATTTGGCGAGTCTGTACGGGGGGCGGGGCTGGCAGGAGGCCCTGACTGCCTTCCTCTGCTGGCTGGGTGCCTGGCCCCTTCTCACAGCCTGGCGGCAGTCCCTCTGGGAGTCTTCAATCCCGGGGTCCTGCTGTATTGTTCCCACCGTAAAGATAGTCTCACCACTTACTAAGCCTGTGGCAAACAGGTGCTAGTAAGTGGTGTGGAGGTGCCACCCTAGACCAGGCTTATCTGAGACTGAGCCGGTGGAGACGCTGTGCTTCGGCGTGGCCTCTCACCTGTTCTGTAAGCCAGTCAGGGTCAGTTCCCCAAACTAGGTCCCCACTTGTCCCCCATGGAATATGGAGGCTGTATCACCAGGCTTCTCAGAGCACAGGGGCGTTCAGCACCCCTAGCTGAGCACCAGTGAGCATTCCTCCCTCCCTCCCGCTTTTCCAGGATCTGGACGATATGGATGCTGATCTCTTAGGTCTGAAGAGGTCTAATCTGGTCTCTAGCAAAAGAGCTGCCAAGGGTCCTGGGAAAGAAGAGCTGCCTAGTCATCCCAAACCTGCTGGCATATTGACAGCCAGTGAGAAAGGTGAGTAGAAAGAGTATCTTGAATCTAGGGACACTCTAGGGACAGAGAAGATACTCGGAAGGCAGCTGTCATTCCTATGGGTTTTCTCTGTTTGTGGTTGGGGAGGGGACAGCTTCCTCCCTCCGTAGTGTGGTTCCAGGCCCTCTAAGTTCAACATGGCAGCTCCCGGAGAAACCGTTTGAGTTAAATTGGGGAATTTGGTGGGAGCCTGTGTGCCTCCCAAGTCCATGACTGTTTGGAGTGACATGTGACTGGGGGGCAGGAGGTGGCTTCAGACCACGTTTCCCTGGCAGAAGCCTGTGTGAGAACTGGGGAGGTGTCAGCCCACCCCACCGCTGTCTCCAGGCCATGAGCCCTCAGCCTCCCTGGGAGAAGGGCACGCCATCCCAGGGTCCCCATTATGGTGTGGCAGGACCTTGGCTGGGACCTTGCCTTCTCTTTGCTCCTTACAGGGGACACCGTTCCTGCCAAGAAGCCCCCTCGCTCTCCCAGCAGCCTTGGGCATCAGTACAGGAAGTTTTCCTTCGAAGGTACCACAGGCCCTGCAGTCACACTTCTGAGAGTGGCGGAGCCTGGCTGATGCTCACGTGCTTGCCCGGGGTCAGGTCGCTGCGTGTGTCAGAGGAGGAGCAGACTTCTGGGGCCACCAGTTCAGCTCCTCAGGAATTCAGGGAGGGACTGGTGGTGTTGTGTGTGGGGGGAGATTTGGATCCCTTCTTTGCAAGACTTTGAAGCCAGACATCAACCTGAAGGTTTTATAAAGCATAAGAAGAATTCCCCTTCCTTTTCCAAATGCACGAATGTTGTGCTCGCTTCGGCAGCACGTATACCAAATGCACGAATGTTTTACTTTACCTCTAATGCCTGGGGGATGCTTCCAGAAGGCTGCGCAGGCAGCAGAGCCCTGGGGGTGCACAGGCAGGCCCAGGGCCGCCCCCTGCCTCCCTGTCTCCTTGCCAAGGCTGATGTGTGTCCTGGGTGTTGAGTGGCCTGTTCATGTATTAGAGCAGCTAGAAATCTCCCCTGGAGTGATGGCTCCCCCACCATGGCGCAGGGCTTGTTTTCCTGAACAAATGGTGCACTCTGACCTGTGCTTTCCCTTCTGGCCGTGAGACTCGGAAGACCCATTGGCGGGACTTCTTTCCGACGATGAGGAAGGACTCACCAAGAAGCCCCCTGGGACTGAGAGTAAAATGGCTTCTGAAAAGAGCCCAGCCCCAGTCAGAGATCAAGGTAGGGAGGGTGGGCTTGTTGCTTGTCCGGGGCAGATGCAGGTGGTACACCCAGAGACTCCGCTGGGCCGGGACCCCAGGGCTGAGGTCCTGGACCAAGAGATTATTGGTGTCTCCAAACAGGGAGGTGGGATGCGTGAGCTGGGGTGGGGCGGGGGAGTCGGGCCTACACGCACACCAGATTCGTGCGCTGCCTACAGCCACACCAGACATCCGGGTCACGGAGAAGCGCCCCTTTCGACCCCTTCAGACGCTGCAGTTGAGGGCGTGGTGGGCCGTGGGCACTGTGTCCTGTGCCCTGTGTTCTGTCCTCTAGGTGCATCTATTCAACTCACCCCTGGGGACACTCCTGTCCGAAAGAAAGAAGAAGTGCTATTTGATGAGGAGGACGATGTCATGGCCACACTGGGGTTTGCAGACAGCCCCACAGCGGAAAGGAGGCAGACGGGCGACCAGTAAGGGTCCTTAGGAGCGGAGAAACCCTGCCCATACAGCTGCCTCAGGCCTAGGGAAAAGCTAGAAGGTGGTCATGATGCAGGCCCCCAGGTGCCCCCCAACATTCACAGGCACCTGTGTGTGTTTCGTCCCTCAGGGAAGGGCCCCGTCCTGCTCGCTCCAGGCTGGATGAGCTGCTGGGTCGGGGCACTGCCACCAAGCTCCTGGCCCGCCCGGGCACTGGGGAGCACAGGGAATTCAAGCTGGACAAGAAGTACCAGAGACCCCAGGGTGAGGAAGCTTGCAGGGCAGGGGAGGCAAGGTGGAGGGCTCCCAGACCACGGTTTTACCACAACCGACAATGAGAAACAAGCCTACATCACAACACACATTATCATAACTGAGACAAAAGCATCACGGAATGATAATTACCACATTCAGTATTCTGTTATTTTTTTATTTATACGTTATCTGATTTATAAATACATTGGTTGTGACTCATGAAATTGGTTTCTTGGCCTGCTGATAGGTAGCAGCTCACAGTTTGCAAAAGATCACTCTAGACCAGTGTTTCTCAAAGTGTCGGCCTGCGGGCCAGCTGTTGAGAATCGCTCTCATGGCACGGGCAGCTCAGCGGGCCGCATCTAAAGGATGTCTGGGGCAGGACCCCGCCGGTGCCTTTTTCACAGCTCCCAAGTGATGCCCAGCGTGCGGGGTCCTGAGACCTTGAGCTCACACCCAGCGCCGTGCCCCTGCCAACCCCACAGCAGCTTCACCTCTACTTACTTGCTGACACGTCAAGCTACCAGTTCAGTTTTTTTAAACAGAGTTCTGCAGCCACAAATTGTCTAATTCCCTTGCTAGAGATCACGGGCTTCTTCATTTACAGACAAGGAAGATTCCTGGGGTGATGAGGACTTCACCTTTGGGGCCTATCAGCCCACCATGGGCTCCTGTGAGGGCCGCCAGTCCCACCGGCAGTCGGTCAGGTAAGCAGGGCCTGCGGAGAGCATGGCCTTGGGGGCAGGTACCCACCAGGAAGGAGGAGGTGCCCCAGGCTCCCCCATCCCGCCGACAGTCTTGTTGGGGAAGCATGGCGTACGAGGCCCAGGGGTGGCTCTGTGCAGGTGCTGAAGGAAGAGGGGGGTTGCCCAGTCCTGCCCATCCAGGCCCATTTCCTTCCAGCCTCCTTGGAAGGAGGAGGAGGAGGAGGTGGTCCCAACACCGCCTGGAACCCATAAAGCCATAAACAGCTGAGGGATGTTCAGTCCCGGGGCAGCGAGACCGTGAACCTTCAGTGTCTTCTCATGCCCTGCTCCCCAGGAATGGCTCTGGGGTCCACTGTGACGCTGCCTTGGGCTCATCCCTGTGTGCGGCGAAACATTAAGTTAGTGGGTAGAATTTTCTGAATTTGGGGTTTTCCTCCCGGTATACATTTTCAACTTTATATTTGGAAATAATTTCAAACTGACAGAAAGGTTCTAAGAATGGTACAGAGAGCTCCCTCCTGCGCTTCGCCCAGAATCCACAGTTGTCGATACTATGCCGCGTTGGCTTTGTCAGCCCCTTTCTATCTAAATAACCTGCACACGCACTGACATTTCTCCCAGTCCTGGTATGTTCTTAGACCTCGGAACATTCTGCCAGGGGCCAGTAATGCTTCTAGGCAGTGGCAGATAAACAAACAGGTGACACTGTTGATAGAAAAACCTAAAACCACTTGATCCAACTGGTCTTTCTCTGGACGTGCGTGCCCGTGGTTGTCATTGGGTGCTGTTTGCTACGGGTGGAATTGCCCCCTGTTCAAGATGTCTGTGTTCGGTGGTGTTCTCCTGGTGGTGCTCCGCCAGCCGCTGTTCTGCCGCCCGAGCTGTGTGGGCACTGTGCTCGCTGGGCGTCGGGGCTGGCTGTGCGGAGCTCCAGGCGCCTCTCACTCCTTCGTGTGGGCCTCAGAGTCACCCCCGAGCAGCAGAGGGAAAGGCCGGTTGGGGGGCTCTTAGGATGGACTGCTTGCCCTGCCTTAGAACCCCTCCTCTCTGTCTTGAAGTAGGTTCTTAACAGAAGGTAGCGCAGACACCAAGGGAGAACCAGGCTCCAAACAGAGCACCCCAGTGGCCTCCAGCCCCACTCACCCCAGGAAGGGAGGAGCTGACTGGTTGGGCCTCAAGGACGACGACCTGCTCCCTCCCTCTCCCACCAGAGAGGCTCAGAGGGGAGGCTCAGTGCTCTCCACTCCTTCCGTGCTCCCTCCCAGGAGCCAGCACTCTGACTCAGGCCGGCACTCTGCCCCGGCTGGACTGCCTTCCTCCTCTTTGGGGCCAAAGCCACCCACGAAGGGTGCAGGTTTCCCTGCCAAAGCCAGCCAGGCTTCCCAGCTGGGAGCGTCTCAGGAGAAAGAGGAAGAGGATTGGCTGAGCCATGCCTTGTCTCGGAAGTCCCGCGGTCCGGCCAGAGAGGAGCACACAGAGGCCTCTAAGGGGGCAGGAGGCAGCCCCCCTTCCAGCAGGTATGGCCTGGGGGGGGGGGCCGGGCAGGGGTGTGGGGGCCAGTCTTGCCCATGTTGGCGCCGGCCTGCAGTACCTCTTCGCTTCTCTACCTCTCTGGGCAGCACAGAGAGAGGGTCGGGCTCCCCATCCTTGCCCAGGTGCAGACATGAGGGGATCGGGAGGCTGTTGACACTCACACCCTGACTGTCGTGCGGACAGGGGCTGACTTAATCAGGCAGGGACGGAGGGTACCCTGATGTGACAAGGGCACAGTCATCTTGGTGCCTCTGAGCAGGTGCCCTGCCCACAGTGCCCCTGGGGTCCCAAAAGACGCAGTGTCCAAATTACTGGTGCCTCTGCTGGCCTGCGCTAAAGGACACGACATAGCCCCGTGCTTCGGGGGAGTGTCAGAGAAGACAGTGACTAAGGGGCAACTCCTAGGGAAAGTTACCGAGTGGCCTTCCTGTGGGCAGGACAGCGAGGGGCCTCTGAGGGCGAGGGGGCAAGACTGACATCGTCCGGGGGAAGCGGCAAGATGCTGCGTGGCCGGAGCGAAGAAGAAGTGAAGTAGGCAGTTGTGCAACAGGCCAGGGACATAAGCCAGCCCCAGGGTTGGTGTGAACGAGGAGGGTAGCTTTGACCTACCTCTGAAACCGAGGAGAAAGCTTCCCTTTGGCCCTGAGAGCCAGCCAAGGGGGGTGGGAACCACAGACAGGAAAAGAGAGGAGCCCAGAGGGAGCCAGACCTGGCCGGAGAGTGAGCAGAGCCCCAGTCTAACCCAGCAAAGCTATGTGGGCCAGAACAAGGCCTTGAACTTGAACTTAACTCTGGTGTCTATAACGTGTGGATTGCTTTTCCTTGGACTGTCAACAGATGGTCAGTGCCCGTCCGCTGTGCCCTAGCGGGCCCTGGGGCCAAGAAGGGGCACTGGAAGGCTAAGGGCTCAGACTTGGAAAGAGAATTCCCAAGATAGGGTGATGGGGACAGGAGGGGCGCCAAGGGGACGATTGGCCGACAGCTTCATGCTCAGGCCTTGTCCATATCCAGCCTAACTGGAACCTTCTGCCACCTTTGCTGTAACATTTACTTCCTCAGCCAACCTGTTCCCAGCACTCAAGTGTTCAAGCAAGCAGCTGCTGTGGCGACACAGGAGCCACTGACAAGACCTGCCACCTCGGGGTATGTCCGCAGGGGGCTGGGCGGTGAGACGCTGGGCTGGGCCCGCGTGGGCCTCCTTCCTTAGAGATGATGCGCAGCCAAGCTGGGCTCTGACCTGGTCGGTTTGGCACGCGGTATGTGCTACCTTGTATCGGGCCCACCGACTAAGGGGACCTGAAGCCGGGCCCAGTCTCCTTTACCCAGCCAAGACCTCACTCTTAGTAAACTGCCAGCTACCAGGCCTTTCCAGTCAACTCTCTGAACCTGTTTTCCTTCACTACCCGCGCCAACCCTCTTCAGGTCTCCCTGTGTTCTTCTACAGAGTAGGCTGTTCACCTTGCCACCACTGAGCGCCGCCCCCCCCCAATCTCTATGTCCTTAGGTCCCCTGTGACTTGGAACCAGGCTGCCTTGACCCTCCCTACAGGTGACCCAAAGAGGGGAACAGCCCTCGGAGACCTCTCCAGCATTGGTTTGTTTTCTGCTTTGTTTGGTGCTTTACCTGTGGGTGTGGAAGAGGCACTCTGAGCATCCTTTGGGGTCTGGGAAGACAAGTAGAGTTGGACTCCCAAACACACACAGACACATGAGACCTCCGGGCCTTTGTGGGCCTCTTGCTCATTTCTCTGCTGTTGATTTTCAGAGCCCGCAGCTTGTGTCCCGAGCTCCCAGGAGCCCCCAGGGCCTTCTGTGCCTGTCCAGGTAGGCAGGACGGACACACAGGAACGGGCCTCGGGCCCGTGGAGCCGCTCGCCAGTGCTCAGAGGCAACGGCCGTGCTTTGAGCCAACAGCCTGCGGGGAATCGTGTGTGGGGAGATCTGACGGCACCGCCCCCACCGCCCCCAGAGCTTCCCTCAGCCTCTAGCCTCGCCAGTCTCAGGCAGTTAGTTGGCTGCTACTTTGCCGACTCCAGGAGGGAGGTAGAGGTGGCATTCTTGCGGGGGCAGCCAGGAATACTCCAGTCAGAAAGCAGGGCTGCACATGTCCCGTTGTTCCGTCTAGAAAGCCACCTCCATAGCTGCCATGCTCCCGCTGCCGCTCCGCCTGTTTCCCAGGTGTGGGAGGCAGTCAGCTCTGAGCCCGGCCGTGAGGAGACCCCAGAGACCTATCCCCAGGAACCCAGAAGCACCTTTGGAGATGGTGGGTGGTGGGCAACCTGCAGGAAGTAGAGAGGCGCTCAACATCTGGATTTGGGGCCAGGCAAAGGAAGCTTTTGTCATAGCTGAGACACTGCTAGGGCTCAGCTGCTTGTCTAGGAATCTGGAACACCTGCTGGGGAGGATGTCATGCTGAGAGAGGCGGGGAGGGACAATGACCGCACCACTCCAAGGCCTCGGCCTCCGGGTGTCATGTCTCTGTCCCCATCTGCGGCCACAGATGAGGCGCAGGGCCTGGGAGGGCCAGAGGTAGCTGAGCTCAGCTGAATCCCTTTCCTCTACCTGGACCATCTCCCACCGTCTCCTACAGTCCCTGCTCCTCGAGTCCCTGGCGCAGAGCCTGTTGCCGGGCACACAATACCAGAGGCAGCTCCTGGCCGCCCAGGTGCAGCTGCCGAGCGGCACGGCCGAGCTCCAGGCCAACCTTCTGCAGAGCCAGGCCCGGCTGGCAGAGCTGGAGGCCCAGGTGAAGGACAGAGGGGCCCTGGGCTGCCGGGGGCGGGGGGGGGCGGGCAAGGCTGTGACGGGAGGGTCTCCCTCTGAGGGCTGGAACCAGTTGGCCCAGGGAGCCCACCTCCCCACCCTCCCGCCATCTCCAGGTGCGGAAGTTGGAGCTGGAGCGGACCCAGCACCGGCTCTTGCTCGAGAGCTTGCAGCAGCGGCACCAGGCTGACCTGGAGCTCATCGAGAGTGCCCACAGGTACCCACCGCTCCTCCCCCCCGGGCTTCCCAAGCCTCGGGGCTGGCACTAGCCAGTATGCTCGGAGAGGCTCTTTGGGTATCTGCCCTCACCCTCTGAGCACCACGGCTTTGTGTTTTGTTGGCAGAAGCCACGTCAAGGTGCTAGAAACATCGTACCAGCAACGGGAGGGGCGACTGCGGAGGGAGCACGAGGAGCTGTCGGCCCGCTATCTGTCGTGCTGCCGGGAAGCCGAGCAGGCCCGCGCCGAACTCGTAGCCCAGCACCAGCAGCGCTTGGCGGCTGCCATGCAAGAGAAGGACCATGAGATGGAGAGGCTCCGGGAGCTGCAGCGGTGAGGGCAAGGCCTGGGGCACAGGCAGGGCCTGGCTGTCTTCGAGGATGGCCAGAGGAAGTCCATTCCCTGGAGTCGCCAAGCCATGGCTCTGCAGCTGAGGCTTGACCGCTTCCCTTCCGTGTGAGGACCAAGGCCAGGCACACTGACCCATTACCCCCTTTGAGTGGAGGGCCCAGCACTCCCCCGGCAGCGGGGTATAGGGGTCCCTGCAGGGCCTGAGGGGTCCTGGCAGCGGCAGGCAACCCAGGGACCTAGCTCGGCATAGGTCAGGCCCCTCGCCTGCTGGTGCTCTTGAGTCTGGTGACTAGGTGGACCCTGGAAGAGGTTTACACTCCTGTGCCTGGTGTGTCCATCTGGTTGCCTCTCTAGATGAGAACAAAACTAAGAAACGCTACGTAAGGGAGCCGGTTGGTATGGGCAGAGCAGGCTTTGCAACACTTCTCTGATCGGCCAGACAAGAAAAGGCTACCCACACACCTATCTTTTCTCCTGTGTATGTCCTTTGCTAAGTAACGGAAGGAGTCTCCCCGTTCGAGTGGTTGTGGCATCGAGGCCCTAAGACACATAAGGATGAGGAGCCAAGGAAGCGGAGGCAGTGCCTGGAGAAGCAGAGGACCAGGGCCAGGAGGAAGGATGCCAGGGGAGCCAAATGGCAAGCCCTCTGGCGCAGCTTGGCATGCACACTCACTGCGCTGCCCTCGCTCCCCTCAGGGCCTCCATCCTGGAGATGCGCCAGGACCACGAGGAGCAGCTGCAGCGGCTAAAGCTGCTGAAGGACCGAGAGATCGACGCGGTCACCAGCGCCACCTCCCACACGCGGTATGGGTGCCATCTGGGCCCTGCCCACCCGAGGGGCAGGGCTGGGGCCCAGGGCCAGGCTGACCCAGTCCCCCCGGCCCCAGGTCCCTGAATAGCATCATTGAGCAGATGGAGAAGTTCTCCAGCAGCCTGCATGAGCTGTCCTCCCGTGTGGAGGCCTCATACCTCACCACCACCCAGGAGCGGGAGCTGGGGCTCCGGCAGCGCGACCAGCAGCTCCGAGGTACTGGGTGGGCCGTGGGTACCCCCCTGAACCCCCATCCCACTGGGACAGAGGGCGCGTACTGAGCGCCCCGTGGCCCCCCAGTGCTGCAGGAGAGGCTGCACCAGCAGCAGCGGGACATGGAAGAGGAAAGAAGCCGGCTCCAGGAGGTCATCGGGAAGATGGAGGCACGCCTGAATGAGCAGAGCCGGCTGCTGGAGCAGGTGGGCTGCCCTTCCGCCGGCAGGGCCTGTCTCCCCAGCACCCCAGGGATGCAGCCAGTGCTCCCCTTTCTGCCCTTCCTGACCACCTTGCTCAGATTTGTCACGTTCATCCGTCTACTGAAGCCTGTGCCTCTTGAGCTTTTAAGAGATGCATTTTTGAACCCCTTTGTATCTTTTATATAGAAGAACAAGCTTGATTCTCTAAAAAAATACCTTTCATTTCCTTTGTACTAGGTTATAACATGATACATTATACTGAAAAAATTAAAATGCAGTTAGCAATACAGAAGAAAATTAAAATCATCCACTGGCCAAAGATAGCCACTGAGGATGTCCTATATCTTCCGTAGACTTATCAACATTAGATGTAGGTGTGTTTGTATCCTGAACCATATGTATTTTTCTTCTGGTAACCTTCTTAAGCCCCTCCTCAGGCAGGCATGGTCAAGTTGCTAAGCTCGTGCTAGTGTGGCCCCTGGTCCCCTGGCATATGCTGTATCACACCTGCCCCGGCCACCTGCCTGTGAGACAGGCACGCAGAGTGCAGCCGCTTGCATCCGGGAAGTAGGGCTGTGGGGCGGCCCAGTGCCTCTTGGTGGTAGTTCCTGAGCCTCTAGGCCTTGGTGCAGTTCATCCCAGTGCCTGGGCCCTGGCAGCCCTGCTCGGCACCTCCTTCTGTACCTCTGGAGGTGTTTGTGGCATAATGTGGGAGAGGCGGATGGGTTGCACAGCTCCCTGGGGTGCAGTCAGGCCTGACGGGGGGTGGAGGGGGCGGGCAGAGTGTCCAGGGAACGCATGTCCTCACCTGGCCCCCAGGAGCGATGGCGGGTGAATGCCGAGCAGTCCAGGGCTGAGTCCACGCAGCGCTCTCTAGAAGAGCAGAGGAAGGTCATGGTCCAGCAGATCACCATGGAACGGGAGGAGCTGGAGAAGGCCAAGGTGAGTGCAGCCACGCCATGTACAGCTGTGACCCCTGCCATAAGCTTCAGGATGCTCAGCCCGTGCCCTGGCCCTCTTGTCCCAGAGCGCCTTGCTGGAGGAGCAGAAGTCCGTCATGCGCAAGTGTGGGGAGGAGCAGCGGCGCCTCGCAGCCGAGTGGGCCGAGTTCTATGCGCAGCAGAAGCTGAGTAAGGAGCGGGCCGAGCGTGAGGCAGAGAGGGCGCTGCAGGTGGACACCCAGCGGGAGGGCACCCTCATCAGCCTGGCCAAGGTAGGGCCCAGAGCCTCCAGGGCAGCCCTGGAGCTCAGCAGCCCTGCCCTTTCCTTCCCCGGCCCTCACTGCTCCTCCCTCGGGATGTATTCCCTTAGTAAAGAGCCTAGAGATAACAAGAATGTAGAAATGAAAACAATCATATGATAACTTCCTTTAATTGTCCTAGGTGCTTTATATACATTCTCTCATTTAATTGTCGTCACGTTCCCCTGACTTAGATATTCTAGAGATGAGGAAGCTGGGGTTCAGAGGAATTGAGCCCTGGGGTGAGGGGCAGCCCCGATTCTTGGCCCCAGGCCTCTCTGACCCGTCCTTGGACCCCTTGCCACACTGCCTCCCCCAGAGTCAGGGTGGATCAGAGCCTCGGAAACGAAGGGGAGGGGGAGTTAGCTCTGGAGGGGGGAATGCACCCAAGGCCTTGCCATCTCCAGGAGCAAGCTGAGCTAAAGATCAGGGCCAGTGAGCTCCGGGCCAAGGAGGATCAGCTGGCGGCCGAGCGGGAGGCCCTGGAGCGGGAGCGGCAGGAGCTGCGGCTGGAGAAGGAGAGGGTCAGCGCCGCTGCCCTGCGCACCAGGCTCCGTGCCGAGGAGGTGGAGAGCATGAGCCAGGTGCCGGGCTGCTGGGCTCGGGTGGGGGGCCGGGCACCCACCCAGCCAGCCCTGCTGACTGTCAGGTAGCCTCGCTGACCACAGGTAGCCTCGGAGAAGTTGGAGGAGGGGCAGCGGGCGCTGCGCGAGGCCCGGCAGGTGCAGCAGGAGCAGCAGGCGCGGCTGCAGCTGGTACAGCAACAGCAGGAGCGGCTGCGGCAGCAGGAGTGGCACGTGCACCAGGCAAGGCTCCTCCCGGCTCCGGCCGCCCCTGCGACCCCCTCCAATCTCCCAGCCTCACAGCCACGTCCTTCTCTCTGGGGTCGGGGACAGGAGCACCTGAGTCTGGTCCAGCAGAGGCTGCGGCTGGACCACATCCGACAGAACCTGCCCTCCAGCCCCATGGCGCTGCTCCCCAGGACCCAGGGCCCGGCAGCCTCCTGCCTGGGTGGTGAGTAGCTTTCAAAGGATGGGCTGGGGGCTGGGCCGGCCCACCGGGGGGCAGTGCCCGGAGCGGCTTCCCTCACTGGAGGTAGGGGCCCGTTAAAATCCCCTTGCTAGTCCCTTGTTACTCGAGTCACACATGTTCGTTAGGGAAAGCTAAGTAAGAGAGAAGAGAGAGGAAAGCTGCTTTGTAAGTTAATCTTGACCTCACTCTCTAGAGAAAACCACTTTTAACATTTTGGTGCATAGCGTTCTACGCTGTATGTTTTCAAAATAAAAAATTGAGATCATGGGCGCCTGGGTGGCTCAGATGGTTGAGCGTCTGCCTTCGGCTCAGGTCATGATCCCAGGGTCCTGGGATCGAGTCCCGCGTCAGGCTCCCTGCTCCTTGGGAGCCTGCTTCTCCCTCTGCCTCTCTCTCTCTGTCTCTCATGAATAAATAAATAAAAATCTTAAAAAAAAAAAAAAAAAATTGAGATCATCTCAGTTGTTTTCAACCTTGATTTCTTTCATTCAGAAACATATGTATGGAACGTGTTTTGCTATCAGTAATTAAACATTTAACCATAATTCTTAATCAGCATCATTGTCCATTGTGTCCCATGTTTTTACTGATTCCCTACTGAGCGGTTTTTTGTCACTAAGATAAACACCCCAGTGGAAATGTTTGTATATACATCTCTACACCTTTGCCTGATTATTTCCCGTGAATAAAATCCTAGAATTGGACTTGCCAGGTAATATCCCATGAGCATTTTCAAAGGCTTTTGAGAGTCAGTGGAAGTGCCCAGAAGGTTGGCGCGGTTGCTGCCGCCCACAGTGGTGAGAAGGCCGCAGGGACCCAGCTGTAGCTGTCCTGCTGTCCCACCCACGCTGCAGCCCCTGACTTCCTCCTCGGCCTTTTCAGCCACTGTGGCTCCTGCCGCCACCGCACCCCAGTGCAGCCAGCCCCCTGCCGGCCTGGGCCCCTCACACCTCCATGCCAAACTGGTGCTGCTGAAGCACACAGCTGAGCAGGTGAGTGTCCCGAGCGGAAGGCAGCCCCAGCCTGAGCCGCCCACTCGCCCTGGGCCCAGGGCTCTTCTGTCCACACTGGTGGGAGGCAGGAAGGAGCACCTTGGCCCCAGGGAGGGCTGAATCCCCCCACCCCACAATAATAGTGCAGATTGCCCACTGAGCATCTCTGAGACCCATCCCCCAGGCCTGGTTCTGTGGGATGCAGCTTGCATCCATCACCTTGGTTGAACCCACAGTAACCCTGTGATCAGAATGATAGGAGCTATCACTTCCAGAGCATTCCCTGCGTGCCAGGCTCTGTGCTGAAAGCTGTATGTGCAGCACGAGCCTCTACCCCCACTCCCCCAGTCCTGCAGGCCGGTAATGTTATTATCTCCAGTTTATAGACAGGCTTACAGAGGTGAAGTCATGTGCTGACAAGGGGCCTCACCATGGCTGAGACCTGCGCTGTCTCACTTCCGTGCCCCCACCGCATCCCAGAGCCGGGGAGCAAGTGGAGAGAGGGCCCCCGAGTGAGGCCTGGCTCCACCTTGCTCTCAGTCCTGCAAGGCAGCGTCCCTGTTCACAGAAGTGGGTACAGGAGGGAGCCAGGCAGTGGGGACTGCTCACCCAGCCCTGCCTTTCAGGACCGTGACTTCTTGGAGAATGAACAGTTCTTCCTGGAGACCCTGAAGAAAGCCTCCTACAATATGACATCCCATTCAGCCTGAAGGGCGCCACTGGCTCCTCAGCGGAGGCCTCCAACACTGGAAGTCTCTCCCACCGCCCCCCTGGCTGCCGACTCTGAGGAGGGAGTACCCAGGGCCCAATTACAGCTCCTCCTGGGGACAGGGTGCGAGCACGTTCTCTCTGCACACTCCAGCCTCTAGGGCTTGAAGAGTAGTGGCCTCCGGGGAGATGTGATGCCGAGGGTGTCTCAGCCCCACGACCCTGCCAGCCACAGCTTCGGTTCTCCTCCCCCAGACTTCCAGCTCAGATCCAAGGGCTCACTGGGCTGTGTGAACCCCTCCCTTCCTCAGCAGGCAGATGGTTGGGGGATGTTTTCACCTGGGCCTCTTCTGAGGCGGGGGAGTCTTCTAGAGAGATGCCACGGACAGTCTCCTGCCCTCTCTGGGAGGCCTACAGGGCCAGCACGGGCTCTCCTCCCTAACTGGGACACAGAGTCAGAGCACATGTTTTGAAGCGCCTTCTATCCTCTTGCCAAGGAGGCGGGCGGTGTTGTGGGGCACAGAGGGGGCAGGGAGGGCGCCGTGCCCAGCCACGTTTTACCTCGCAGTCTTTTGCTGTCGGGTTGCTGGCAGAAAGTCCCTGCCTCGTTCCCAGCTGCCTGAATCACTGACCAGCCCTCATGAATACTGGCCTGTCATTTCTTGTAATTAGGGCTTCCCAGAGGCAGAGCTGGGCCTGACAGTGGGGTGTGGTGAGGGACCAGTAGAGAGGCCTCTCTGTCCTGTGCACCTGCTACGAAGCCACAGCAGGCGGGAGCGAAGACCAGGGAGTGAAGGCCCCTGCCGCAGCCGGGAGGGTAGAGCGCACTGGGGACCCCCACAGGGCCTTACCCAGGCTGCCGCCCCTGGGAGGGCACCTTAGCACTTCTCCCTGCAGAGGCGCCAGGAGAGGGGCAGCAGCTTGGCAGCTGTCCCAGCAAACCCGAGGACAGATGGACTCCACTAACATAACCACGGCCACTCCTGAAGCGGCTTCCCTCAGCCCGCGACTGGTTACCTTCCACCGGAGGACAGAGGGCAGAGGAGGACAGGCTGAGGGGGTACCAGAACAGCTTTCAGAGGGATCTTCATTTACCAGCTATTTCCGGCCTTTATCTTGGACCCATTAAATCGCTATATTCTTAACGACTGGATTGTTAGAATTTGCCTTGACTCCTGAGAGTTTATACTTCTTAGACGTGTTCCCTCTGTAGCACTGTTACGTGCTGGAAAGCTGGCTGGCGCTGGGACCTTCCTGAATACGTTCGCTAGCTGCCTCACAACCGGGAGAAGAGTGTGATGATGAGCCCTACCTCACACATGAAGGGACAGAGGCTCAGGGAGATTAAAATATCTGCCCAAGGTGACAGCAAATAGCAGAGCCTTCTCGGGCTGATTCGAAAGCCGCAGGGTCTCAGCCACCTCATCCCACTGCCTCCTTCTAGAAGAGCATGCTGCACACAGGGCTGTGGTGAGGCACGAGATCTCCAAGCTGCTGCTCGGGATGGTGCCCGCACTGAGGAGGGAAGCATCAGTGTCCCATTAGAAACCTCATGAAGTAAACTGAGGGTTCTAGAGGGGAGGGGGGTGGGGGGATGGGTTAGCCTGGTGATGGGTATTAAAGAGGGCACGTTCTGCGTGGAGCACTGGGTGTTATGCACAAACAGTGAATCATGGAACACTGCATCAAAAACTAATGATGTAATGTATGGTGATTAACATAACAAAAAAAACCTCATGAAGCTTGGAACTTGGTCCTTCTCTCCACAGACACCTAAACGAGTTGCCGCCTGTGTGAAGAGCTGCAGGGCTGTAAGCACGGGCACAGCGTGGGAGAGCTGCCATTGACTTAGTCCCCTGGCAGACAGGATCACCCAGCAGGGAGACAAGGGCGAGCTTGGTCTTCAAGACAAAGAGAAATGAGTGTAGAATTAGGAAGCAGGTCTGTCTGGCCTCATTTATATCTTAGGGCAGTGGGTATGCCCTCACTGTTTTAAACGGTGAGACTATATTTGCACTTTAGAAAGCACATTGTGGCTGTGGAGTGAACACACTAGAGGGGGCGGGTCAGAAGGCTGCTTGCAGTGGTGCAGGGGAGACTGAGGACAGCACTACTGGGGATGGCAGTGAGGGGTCAGGGACCAGATGCCTGGCATGGAGGGTCAGGAAGGGAGATGTGTCAAAGAGGACCCCCAGGTTTCCGGCCTGGGCAACTGGGTGGTGTGTCCTCGATGAAACAGCCAAGTAGAGATGCTCCACCGCCCTTGGGTTGTAATGATACTTTACTCAATGCCTATAACTGCTCCATATCACTGCTCGTGGCATTAAGGTGTGGCAGGGAGCTTAGTTCTCCCCTTCCATCAACTTCTACCCCAGGCCACAGACAGCAGAGGGCTACCCAGCTGTGTATCTGCTGGTGCTTTTCCCTTCAAAAGTTATCAACAACGTCTCAACGTCATAACCCAGATGCTTTAATTCAGTTAGCTGTAGAGCGAGGTATTGGAGTTAAGTGACAATGAGAAAAGACACGGTGGGGGGGGGGGGACGCATTACTTCCACTTCCAGAGTCGTCCGTGTTTATTATTTGTTTCCAGTTGATACATGGAATCCGTGCTTGCCTTTCAAACAGTTAAATTCCAAGTGAGCCCATTCTTGGAGCGTTCTAGAACCGTGAAAGGACAAGTGTTTCCCGAAAGTAAGGGCTATCGTTGAAATCCAAGCCACCGGGGGTCAAGGGCCTGCAAGCCGCTCGCCTCTGTACCCTGAGGCCCTCGGAATCCTCCGCAGAGGGGCAGGCTGTGGTGTATGCCGCCTCCTGGTGGCCGGCCGCGGCCAGGGGCCCGGACCGCCCGCAGCTCCGCCCCGCCGGCCACCGGGCACTTCCGGAGCTCGCCGCCACCGCCCGACGAGAGGTAGCAGCTCCTGGCTCCCGGGAAGGAGGAAGCGGGAGCCCGGGTGGGGGCGTGGCTCGTAGGACGCGAGCCCGGGGGCGGGGCCTCCGCGGGATGCTCAGGCGCTGCTCCGGCCACCTTTGCGGGGTCCTTAGCGGTGGCGGCGCAGGGGCCGCCGTCCTGGGTTAAGATGGCGGCGCCCTGGTGGCGAGCCGCGTTTTATGGAAGTCGGAGGTGGAGGGGCTTCAGCACCTCGGGTGAGGGGTCTGAGGTGGGGGGCTCTTGGAGGTCCCTGTATAGTCCGAGCCCCGGGGCTCGAGCCAGCGTCCGCCCCTGGCCTCACCTCCCGCTGTCTACCCGCAGCCGCCCTGAACCGCCGGACCGCCCCTCTGGGGCCGATGCCCAACGAGGACATCGATGTGAGCAACCTGGAGCAGCTGCAGAAATACCGCAGCTTCGACCGCTACCGACGCCGGGCAGAACGGGAGGCGCGGAACCCGCATTGGTGGCGGACCTATCGGGAGTACTTCGGGGAGGAGTCAGGTGGAGGGCGACCGGCCTCGCGACTGGGGGGCGGGGGGGGCCTGCCAGCGCCCACGTGCGCACTGTGGCCCGCTTAGTCCCACCAGGATTTTTCACACCTTTTGGTTCTTTTATTTGGAAGGTTCTCTTCCCCGGCTGTTAAGAGTTCCACCTTATACTTCTAAAATCCTTTCCAGGTTTCTCCTCCCCACCCCACCCCCATTCCGTGTTAGAACGTCCCTCTGTGCTCCTAAAATACTGTGTGTAGCCCTGGCCACACCCTATCCTGACTTTCTTTTCACTGGTCCTCTTCCCGTATTGGGATCCCTAAGGCCGGGGATCTTGCCTGTCTTGACCACTATTTGATCCTTGCATAGTGCTTGGCACAAAGGTGTGCAGTTCTTTCCTGAATGAAATTGAAAGCTCTGGGCAAAGTGACTCGGGGATCCTGCCCTTGAGCAACCTACCTCCTGAGTACATCTTTATGTGGAAAGCATTTAGGGAGGCAGTTTTGTGATGGTTGAGGACACAGGGTTGGAATCCACATAGTCTGATTTAAACTCAACTTCTTAGGAGTTGATGCTGACAGGCCAGGTCCAGGGACCTAGAGAAGGATCCCTGGTGCACGCAGGATAAGAATCAAACTCCAGGGCGCCTGGGTGGCTCAGATGCTTAAGCGTCTGCCTTCGGCTCAGGTCATGATCCCAGGGTCCTGGGATCGAGTCCCGCGTCGGGCTCCCTGCTCCTTGGGAGCCTGCTTCTCCCTCTGCCTCTCTCTCTCTCCCTCTCTCTCTGTCTCTCATGAATAAATAAATAAAATCTTTAAAAAAAAAAAAAAAAGAATCAAACTCCAGCCAGCAGAAGGTAAAAGCAGAGTTTCTGGAAGGTATAGAAAGAGTGCAGGTACGGACAGTGTGTTTGGGAGATTCAGAAAGGAAAGGAGGGAGTCTCCTCTGCTTGGGGCCTGGGGGTTTTTACTGAGGATTGTGGTCTGGTGCACATGTCCTCTCAGGCATCCAGGACCAGTTAGAACAAAGATGAGGGCCCAAGTCTTATTCCTGGGAGCCAGGGGGTCTTGGCGTTGAGATGTCTAGAGCTGGTCGTCTGGAATACACACACTGTGGCTTCCTGCAGTCATTCTCACCTGGGCCGCCTTTAGATGTTATCTATTCGAAAGAAATCATTAATTCCTTGTTCCTTACAAAAGGCGTCCATAAAGTGGGGGTGTGGGTCCTAGCAAAAATAGAAGTAGAAAGGGGTGTGTGGCTGGCTCAGTTGGTAGAACATGCACCTCTTGATCTCAGGGTTGTGAGTTCAAGCCCCATGTTGGGCACAGAGTTTACTTAAAAAAGAAAAAGCAGGAAAAGGAGCAAAAAGCATATTTTTATGGAGTCCTTCAGTTTCCCTATCTCAGAGTGACTTGCCTGAGCTTCAGTTTCCTCAGTGTAAAATAAAATAAATTGTGTCTGTCACAAAATTGTTGTATTAAAGGTTTTTTAAGACAAATCCATCTTTGACGAGGGTTCAGTGCGTCTTATTGGTACTGTCTGATGTAAATGGAAAAAGTATTGGATCGAAGGTCTTCTTGGG